TGCGGTGCGTGACTTCCCCGCGACCAACCAGCCAACCAGAGGCCAGAGTATTGCAGGAAAAAAAAAGTCTCTCAGCTTATTATTATACTCTTATATAAGCGCACAACTTTATCTATCTGTGATGAACGCTGCACCTTGCGTCGTTTTCATGCAGGGGGCGCTGCAAACCTACGCACCCCCTGCATGAACGACGGAGGCGCAGGGACAGACGTTCGATTCCGTTGGAATCGATCTGCAGACGGCGGTCTTCTCGCACGGCCAGCAGCTCAATGTCGCCTTATCTCGATCCCGCAATCCCAAACAGGTGAAAGTCCGCATCGAACCGAACCCCCAGCAAGGCCATCTACTTAACGACGAGAGAAAATTCACACGAAATGTTGTTTTCAATTAAGTCTTCCAGATGTAAAATGATATAAGCTTTGAGATGAAGCAATACAATTAGCCAATTCAAAACCTCATACAATTCATAGATGTTTCATTTTTAAACTTCAAAACGGAGCATCGGGTGCTTGCGTGAATGCGTCGTTCGTGTGCAATCTTTTTGGTGACTTTCCTAGCCAAAGGCCGTAAATGGTTGTGAGGGGCGCCGCAGGTGCCCCGGAACAAGCCCCAGTATAAGATTATAATAATCAACTCAAGGTCCCAAGCTCTTTCCCCAAAAACATTTTAAAAAATCATCTGTTTCACCCCCGGTGCATGTTTACCGCTCGCAAAACTTTTCTCCCTCTCCCTTCCTCTTCATCCTTTCCTCCCCCCCTTTCACACTTCTCACGCTTTTCCATTTCGTAGGTCTCAGCCAGGGGATCTCCTCTACGGCTCCCGTTCGTCGTGATGCCCGTGGTTACCCCGGCCCTGTGCTTCATCAGGATACGTCATCATCCTTGTTGAGAATATATATCGGATATATCGTAATTAAGGTTTTGGGTTTAGATCGCGTCAATGTCAATCAGTAAGGGATTTTATTTTGATTTAAAGCTTTCGTGACTGCAGTGATTCATATTCTTGGGTCTTTCGGTAAAGTCACGTTGAAGGGAAACAATAAAATAATAAAATATCTATAAAATATATATAAAACAATAGTAAGGGATTTGTCACGTAAACAAAATGCCAATTAGTGATTACTTCAGCCCACCGGTGCGTTGGAGAGTAAATTCACAATATTTACAAATTTGAGTAATACGACGTTTCGCTGGTAATTACATCCAGCATCTTAATTGGCGTTTTGATTACGTGACAACTCCCTTACTAATTGGCTGTGTCGGGTGGTGGAGGGTTACGACACATTCATACTTATGAGATCTAACCCAAAAACCTTTATGAATATTGGTCGCGAAATCCTACGTGTTAAACTGATATATACAGTGAAACCTTGGATTGCGAGCATAATTCGTTCCGGAAACGTGTTTGTAATCCAAAGCACTCGTATATCAGAGCACTCGTATATCAGTTGTGTGATCACGTGACGCTCGGCAGTACAAAGCGTCTACACGTACACTACTCGTATTGCAAGACCCTCGCTCGTTTATATCAAATTAATATTTATCTAAAACTTTTGCTCGTCTTGCAAAACACTCGCAGACAAAGTTACTCGCAATCCAAGGTTTTTGCTGTATATAGTTCTTTAAAGATGATTCCCGTTTATCGGTTTTCTCCGTACGACGCCTTGCGAGGCTGCGATAAGGGGAGCAAAATGGGTGAAGTATGGGTTGTGTGCGGTAGAGAGTCTGTTTGAAAAGTTATCCACAAAACGACGGAGTTAAACGGGACGCGAGGCGCTCTTTGCTCCCTTCATCTCTCTCGCTGGCCGGAGCCGCTTATCGGAAACGGGTCAAAGGAAACGGGAGGTTTTTTTTTTTCCCCTCCTTTCTAACGCATCAAACGCACTGTGGATTTTCGGGCGACGTAGAATAACGATAACAATAAAAACGCAAGAAGAAAGACCGCACGGCGACGGGAGGATGCGGAGCGCGGAAGGCGCGCGCGTGTGCGTGCTCACACGCACAAAGACAACACAGACAAAGATCCCCCGTACAGCCTTAACAGACTGTTGGGGCAAGTGATGTTAGCGAGCACCTACGAAAACCAGAACAGCATGATGGGGTGGGTGGCCAGCACCACGCCTGGCCGCCTTTGTCTCCCGAATGACGATGTTTTCACGCACAGCACCAGGTACTCAATTGAGGCTGAGTCGACCTAGGGGAGGCCCAGGACCTGTTCAGAAAATCATCACTGATGTTGTCCGTGAGCGGGAATTGAACTCGGGTCGCCGGGTTCGTAGAGCAGCGCTCCAGCCGCTGCGCTAACCGATCCCCACACACGTGCACACACACGCACCCCCCCGGCTCGTGTGAGCTCGTACGCACAAATACAAATCTTGCCGAAGATCCCCCCCTGTGTGGCGTTTATAGGCTGTTTGGGGCAAGTGCTTTTAATGAGCAGCTATTAAGGACGGCACGGCGCACGAGGGGGCCGTGCGGCACGCATCATGCCCGACTGATAACCTCTTGCGGCCCCGGCGCCGAGGTGTTATAACGCCGCACCAAAAACATATTTAAGGACGAGTCGACGTAGGAGAGGTCCAGGGCTGGTTGAAATATCACCGGCCACTTATGTACGAGCCGTGGCTAGGAATCGAACTCAGGTCCGTCGGGTTGATGGTGTCGTACGCTAAACACTGCACCACCGCTCCTCATACAACGACAAAGATTCACCCACCACCACCACCCGTATAGCCTTCAAGCAATCTGTTGGGGCAAGTGCTGTTCGCTCGTAGAGCCTATGAAGGCCGGCACGACAAACGAGGGGGTAGGTGGCCAGCAGCAGCTGCGGCCGGCAGCGCTCGTATATACACACAGACACACACGCAGCACACACGTGTGCACGCGCACACACGATTGTTCACACGCGTGCAAAAAAAAGGCACGCGACGGCGTCTTTGAGTTATCAGCGCCGCACAGCCGCTCGCCCCCCCCCCCCGCCCCCCGAGACCCAGGCTCCATCAAAGCCGCGGCCGCAGCATCATCCGCTAAGCCGCGCGTTAACCCCTTCCCTGCGAGATCTCCCTCTCCCAAAGCCGCCGCGGAGACGGGAGGTGCGAAAACTCCGGCATTCCGCGGCGAACCACAGGGGGAGCAGCCTGGCCGCATCTACCCGTCGTGCCCGTTGTTTAAAAGATTCCAATCGTAGCCGTGACATGCCGTGCGAGCCTGATGATTGGTGCACACGTCACACAGGATACGGACGTGCGCGCGTACACACACACACGTGTGCAAGAGATCTCCATCTTCAATTTATGATAATGATGTTGTTTATAATGCACGTAAGGACGACGATGATGATCATGCAAGAAATGACGACAATGGTTATGATAACACTGATGATGACATTGGTCATGATGATAATGATGATGACACTGGTCATGATGATTCTGAAAGCAATGATGATGAAGTTAGTAATAATTACCGCGGATTGTATGAACCACAACAATACTACACGCTGTCTGCTTCACTCACGGCAGACGCTCAAGATACCGTGACGTCATTCGCAAGAGAGGAGGCCATCGTGTGCAAGTGTAGTGACATCGCGGGATGTCACTGTGCAGTGCCAGCCCTAGAGAGGCACGGCGTGCGGTGTAACGACATCACGGACACCGCTATGATGTGGGTGTAGTACCGGCCCTAGAGGGGCCCAGTGAGCGCTGATTGATAGCGCTGAATGGCACCACGCTTGACGTGCAGTGCCAGCCCTACAGGATAGCGTGTGGGAGTGCCGGCCGTAGGAATGAGGTTACTAAAGGCCATGGCACTCTGGTTGATCCGAGAGGACACGTGACCAGTTAAGACTACAAAGGGACCCAAGTGCGGGCTATTGGTGGCCACGTGGTTAACATCCAGATCCTTCCCGAGGATTCTGGAAGGTGGTCGTGGCCAAGGGCGGAGCCGGCCACGCTGCAGAGAATATCAGCCTGGTCCCCGGAGGGACCGGCGTTGTTGTTCATCCTGAAGAAACCTTCGTCAACGTTCTACTTACTCCGCTCAACGAGTCTCCAACAAGTGAACCTGGACCTGAGCTGTGGTCCCGGTCCGTAGTAGCTAGTTACGTTGTAACTAGTGTAGTAAGCCTGGTGGTCACCACCATAGGTTGTTACTCTGTTAAGGGGAAGTTACTCCGTGTGTTGGAGTTAAATAAATGTGGTGCCGCCAAGTATATGTCTGCGACCCAGTTGAACTCACTACACAAGCGTCTGGGATAAAAATTTGAAAAAAACTAGAAAATTTACACCGCAAAGTGCTCAATTGGAATTATACACGCAACAGCAATAATCACCCGCTACTGGCAGACTAATGCACACTTGCAGGCCAGCTTCTGAATCACCTTGTGCTCACAGGGACAGCTGCTATGGGGGGGGGGGGGGGGTGCCCCTTTCAGATGCTTTCAGATGAGATGTGACACGAAGAATCGGAGATGCCCTGGCATACAGCGGGGCGGCAATATAAAGAAAAATAACATGATCATTATTATGATCATTATTACGATCGTGATTTATCATGGTTCTAGTGAAGATGACAACGATAGCATAATTTCGCTTGCTTGCTCGCTAACACCTCTCACTTACCCCATAGGCATTAGCTCGTTCATTATTCCACTTGGTTACTCACTCACTTGCTCACACACTCAAACACTCACTCGGCCACCAATTCACCCACACACTCACACAAACACCCGCTCACTCACCCACACACTTGCTCACTCACCCAAACACTCACTCACTAATTCCACTCATTCAGCCACTGACTTGGCCACCCACTACTCACTCACACATTAGTTCGACTACCCACTCACCCACCCACCCAAAAATTTGCTCGGCCACTCACCTACCCGCTTACCTACACACTCGTTCGCTCACTCACACAATCAATCTCGCTCATTCGCGAGTGATGATAAATTCCTGCCGTCGATCGCGCGTCGCAACATCAGCGAAGCGGTGAGGCGTGCATTACCGGCTGACGCCTGTCGCGAAGCATTGCTCTCCATGATGACCGACAGGTCGTTGATAATTAGCTTGTAAATCTTGACGAGCAGGGGGATCACCGTCCATCGCTCCGGTGCTGCACCACACACAGGCGCACAAAGACAGAGGGTCGCTCGTATCACCGTATACTGTTGGGGAGAAATGGTGTGAGCGGTGAACAGCCGAGTCAACCTAGGGGAAGCCCAGCACCGGTTCGGTTTGGAATACCACTCGCCGCTGGTGTTAGTCATGCTTGTGAATCAAACTCTGGGCGCCGGGTTCGCAGTAGAAGTACAGAGGGAAAAAAGTATTTGATCCCCTGCTGATTTTGTACGTTTGCCCAATGACAAATAAATGATCAGTCTATAATTTTAATGGTAGGTTTATTTGAACAGTGAGAATAACAACAAAAAAATCCAGAAAAACGCATGTTTTTCTGGATTTGCAAAACATGACTTAGTACTTGGTGGCAAAACCCTTGTTGGCAATCACAGAGGTCAGACGTTTCTTGTAGTTGGCCATCAGGTTTGCACACATCTCAGGAGGGATTTTGTCCCACTCCTCTTTGCAGATCTTCTCCAAGTCATTAAGGTTTCGAGGCTGACGTTTGGCAACTCGAACCTTCAGCTCCCTCCACAGATTTTCTATGGGATTAAAGTCTGGAGACTGGCTAGGCCACTCCAGGACCTTAATGTGCTTCTTCTTGAGCCACTCCTTTATTGCCTTGGCCGTGTGTTTTGGGTCATTGTCATGCTGGAATACCCACTCACGACCCATTTTCAATGCCCTGGCTGAGGGAAGGAGGTTCTCACCCAAGATTTGACGGTACATGGCCCCCTCCATCGTCCCTTTGATGCGGTGAAGTTGTCCTGTCCCCTGAGCAGAAAAACACCCCCAAAGCATAATGATTCCACCTCCATGTTTGACGGTGGGGATGGTGTTCTTGGGGTCATAGGCAGCATTCCTCCTCCTCCTCCAAACACGGCGAGTTGAGTTGATGCCAAAGAGCTCCATTTTGGTCTCATCTGACCACAACACTTTCACCCAGTTGTCCTCTGAATCATTCAGATGTTCATTGGCAAACTTCAGACGGGCATGTATATGTGCTTTCTTGAGCAGGGGGACCTTGCGGGTGCTGCAGGATTTCAGTCCTTCACGGCGTAGTGTGTTACCAATTGTTTTCTTGGTGACTATGGTCCCAGCTGCCTTGAGATCATTGACAAGATCCTCCCGTGTAGTTCTGGGATGATTCCTCACCGTTCTCATGATCATTGCAACTCCACGAGGTGAGATCTTGCATGGAGCCCCAGGCCGAGGGAGATTGACAGTTCTTTTGTGTTTCTTCCATTTGCGAATAATCGCACCAACTGTTGTCACCTTCTCACCAAGCTGCTTGGCAATGGTCTTGTAGCCCATTCCAGCCTTGTGTAAGGTCTACAATCTAGTCCCTGACATCCTTGGAGAGCTCTTTGGTCTTGGCCATGGTGGAGAGTTTGGAATCTATTCTAGATTTAAAGCTTTCGTGACTGCAAGGATCCATACTCTTTGGTTCTATTGGGTAAAGTCACGTAGGTAAAAAATAAAATAACAAAAATCACGACGTTTCGGCCACAACACAAGCGGCCTTCATCAGGTGAAGGGGCGAGACTGTCTGGAGGACAGCGCTGGAGTGAAAAAAGCCACGCTCAGATCACGACCTTTAAGCTGTGCGAGAAGAAACAAAGCGCCTTGACAAAGGAATTAGCATATAATTTAGCATTGAAATGGCTGAGTGATTAGCTTGTGACTGGTCACAGAAATGGCTATGTTAAAGTTAAAGCATACACATCCGCAAAGGCACCCCTTGACACAGGAATTAGCATGGAATTTAGCATTGAAATAGCTAAGTTCAAGTATACACATCCGCAGAGGCACCCATTGACAAAGGAATGAGCATAATTTAGCATTGAAATAGCTTGTGTTTCGCTAAATTCTCCTGTTTGATTTGTACTAGGTGCCTCGGTGAATGTATATGCTCTGACTTTAACATAGCTATTTCTGTGACCAGTTACAAGCTAATCACTCAGCTATTTCAATGCTAAATTCTATGCTAATTCCTTTGTCAAGGGGTGCCTTTGCAGATGTGTATGCTTTAACTTTAACATAGCCATTTCTGTGACCAGTCACAAGCTAATCACTCAGCCATTTCAATGCTAAATTATATGCTATTTCCTTTGTCAAGGCGCTTTGTTTCTTCTCACACAGCTTAAAGGTCGTGATCTGAGCGTGGCTTTTTTCACTCCAGCGCTGTCCTCCAGACAGTCTCATCCCTTCACCTGATGAAGGCCGCTTGTGTTGTGGCCGAAACGTCGTGATTTTTGTTATTTTATTTTTTACCTACGTGACTTTACCCAATAGAACCAAAGAGTATAGTTTGGAATCTGATTGATTGATTGCTTCTGTGGACAGGTGCCTTTTATACAGGTAACAAGCTGAGATTAGGAGCACTCCCTTTAAGAGTGTGCTCCTAATCTCAGCTCGTTACCTGTATAAAAGACACCTGGGAGCCAGAAATCTTTCTGATTGAGAGGGGGTCAAATACTTATTTCCCTCATTAAAATGCAAATCAATTTATAACATTTTTGACATGCGTTTTTCTGGATTTTGTTGTTATTCTGTCTCTCACTGTTCAAATAAACCTACCATTAAAATTATAGACTGATCATTTCTTTGTCAGTGGGCAAACGTTCAAAATCAGCAGGAGATCAAATACTTTTTTCCCTCACTGTATAATGCTAACCAACGGTGCCGCAGCATTTGTGCCAGGCTTGCTGGAAAATGACGAGACAGACCCAGTTGTTACAAGTTGACTGGTAGAGATGACTGGCAGATGGCCCCACCTGTGCTCCCCACTATGCCATACACGGCACACCACTAACCCGCGCACAGACGCACGTCACACACGCACGCACAAATAACACAACCAAACTCCGAACCCGGTCTGGAACCCCCCCCCCCCAACACTTTCGCTCATCAGCACGCCCGAGAGGCCCGTCGCTGATTTCAAGGGCAAACAAAGACACATTTGTTAGCCTCTTTTTTTACACTGCATTTTCCATATTGATTTTTATATTTGAAAGTCATAAATAAAATCAATTTAACAATATATATGATAATTAAATGGAGGGGGGGGGGGTGGGATATTTAGGGAAGAGAAATATCGTCCGTAAATGGCCACGATCGTGACCACGAGATCGGTCTTCCCATCATGCCTTGCACGTTACATGACATCAGCATACTTGGTGTAAGCCACACCGCACTCACAAACACGCTTACACCGGCATCATCACTTCTAGCCACCACGGTGACCTTGCCATCACAGAAACTTCTCCATCGTTAGCGTCTGCCATCCCGGGTGGTACCAGATGACACATTTTTGGAGGAAACGACTACTTATTTTAGAAACTAAAGACGAAACTAAAACAATTTTTATGTTTCCAGGTAGGGCCCACTGAGCTGTATAGCTTTTTTTCAGAAGCGACCTGGCTATCACAAATGATAGCTCAACGAAGTGGCTTATCTTGTGGAAATGTATAGCAGCCAAATACTCGCATTATTCTAAATGTGGAGTGAAAAACCGGTGGACCCGGAGAAAAATCCACGCGACCACTGGGAGAGAGAGAGAGACACGCGAAAACTTCAATTATACAACAGGTGTCAGGGGGTCGGGATCAAACCCACGACTTCCTGTCTACTACCAGGTGAGGTAGTTAACATCTCTGAGCCACCGTGGCTCCCAGCGAGCCCGAACGGGGGCCGCCGTGACACGTACTCTGGGCGGTCTTGCTGCGAGTCTGCACGGCGTTGGAGGCCGAGAAAATCTGCTCTCCGCGCACCGTCAGGTCCTGCAGCCGCGTGTCGTGCGTCGCCACGCCGTGCTGCAGCAGCTTGCAGAGCGCCATCGCACTGTCGGGGGGGGGGGGGGGGGGGGCAGTGGACGAAGGTGAGCGGCGAACGAGCGGGGGGGGGGAGGGGGACATGAGCGAGCACGACGACGCGTACACACCGATGTGGTAACACCGACGCAAACAATGACACTGAGCCTAACTTACCTACTAACTCTGGTGCACACTCACATGGATGTGAACACAATGATGCAGACCCAATGACACCGAGCCTAACTTACTAACACTGGTACACGCAGATGCTAACAAGATTGGTACACACTCATATGGACATGAACACAGTGACTGAACAAAACGTACCAACCCTGCTACACACTCACACGGATGTGAACACAATTGCACTTAACTTACTCACATGGGTACACACTCACAAGGATGCTAACAAAATCACAATGACACAACGATACTTAACGACACTTGACCTAACTTACAAAGACATTACAGATGTTGCCGTAACAAGACACCTGTGATGGGGTGCGTGGCCGCCACCGCACCTGGCTGCCTGTGTCTCCCCAATGCTGATGTTTACACAATGCATCCCGGAACTCCTTGAAGGCCGTGTTGACCCAGGGGAGGCCCAGGACTGGTTGAAATATCACTGACGTTGGCTGTGAGACAGAGTCGAACTGGGGTCGCCGGGTTGGTAGCGCAGTGCGCCAACCACCACAACTAGCCAACGTACTAACACTGACACGCACTCACACCGACCCTAACTCATTGACACTTCCACGCTTAAACTCTCGTCGCGGCGCACACCGGCGCACAAACACAATGACACAATGGCACACTGACACATGACACACTGTCTACGGGTCTCTGTGAATATTTTCCAGGCCGCTGACAAACCGGCGTATGTGGCACGCGGCTAGACGTGGCCACAGTAAGAGGGAGAGAGGCACACTGGATACGTGGTGTGCAGGGTGCATTAATATTTTCCGGCTCACTGATAAAACTGCAGTGGGTGGCACGTGACTGCCAGTGGCCACGGCCCATAGGGGGATAAGGTATACTGGACGTGGTGTGCGAGGGTGTGAAATCTTTCCCGGGTCGCCGATGACTTGGGAGGTGGGTGACGTAGCCACGGCCACGGAGGAGTGAAGTCGACTGGACGCGGTGTGCCGGGCGCACCTGACTTTGCCCTCGTACTGGCCGTAGAAGAGGTGCTGGCGGCTGGTCCACTCGCTCATGACAAACTCGAGCGCGGGCTTCCCCGTGGGGCCCGGCAGGCTGGAGAGGAACTCGAGCAGCGCGTCCAACTGCGAGTGCACCAGGTGCGCAAACACCATGATGAGAGACTGCGGGGGGGGGGGAGCGGTGATGGAGAGAGAGGGGGGTGGGGGAACGCAGACATATGACACAGTGAGCGAGCGGGTGGGCGGTCGAGGGACTGGTCGGCCGAGCGAGTGGTTCGTGTGAGTTGGCGATCGAGCAGGTGATTGGTCAAGACAGCAAGTATTATATTATTATTATTACTACGAGTGGTCTTTCAAGTGAGTGGTCCATCGAACAGGTGGGTGATCAAGCAAACGAGTGGTCGAGCGAGTGGTCGAGCAAGTGGGTGATCGACCGAGTGGTCGATCGAGCGAGTGGTCCTTCGAATGAATGGGTGGTTGAACAAGAAAGTGAGTGGGCAAGTGGTCGTTCGAGCGAGCGATCGTACAATCGAGCGGGTGGGCGGGCGGGCGACCCACCTGCATGACACTGAGCGTCTCAGCCTGCTGCATCTTGCTCAGCACAGCGCGCAGCATGAGGTCGAGGCTGTCGCCCAGCTGCGTGCCGAGGCGCCCCACCAGGGTGGACACGAGGCGCCCCACGAAGGTGGCGGTGAATTCGGAGGAGCGCGGGTCGAGCAGGCGCGTCACGGCCTGCAGCACGTACCACAGGCCCGAGCGGCCCGCGTCGTCGCGCCAGCCACCCACCTGCTCCAGCGCCACGCTCACGTAGGCCCGCAGGCACTCGCCGCCGCTCTGCGACGGTGACAGGGAGGGGGACGGGGGCGGCGCACGGGGTCAGGGTCCCCCGCAGGGTGACGGTTTCGCGGGACGGGTCGCGTGGCCGGCTCGCTCTTGCGGCTTTCGCTGTGGCGTTTTGAACGCAAGACATCTGTGCAGGAGCGCCTGGGGAGTGCTCGCTCGCGTCTGGCTCCACGGGCAAACGTAGAGGAACACGCAGCCAACGTGGGGGAGAAACAACCGGCTCGTTGCATGTGGAATGATAGTGCATGTTGGGTTGGTTGTTGCGGTCAAAGTTGGAGGATGTAGTTGCGGTTGTGGGTTGCGATTGCGGTTGCGGTTGGTCGGGGGGGGGCAGCACCTGCATGACGGCGTTGTCCTCGGTGCGCAAGGTGCACTGTGCCACGGCCGGGAACGCCTGGCACATGAGCAGATCGGAGAGCGGCGGCTTGGTGTTGCGCACCACCCCGCTCAGGATGTCCAGCGCCACCTGGGCCCAAGCGACGCCGCGACGCGTGGAAACGCAATGAGAGACACCGGCGCGGAACTCGACGCGAAACGAACCGCACGGAACTCCACGCTACGAACTCACTGCCAGCGCAACCTGGGGTCGAGCGGCGTCACACGGGGAAGCTGAATGCGCACGTGTGCGCGTGTGACAGAGTTATCGAGACAAGCGTGAGAATGAGCGTTTGGAGGTGTGTCTTTGACAGCGAGTGCGTCGACTAACCCATGACACCTGGGTTTGTGCCACAAGCATTTTACACTTTACATGCCCTCAAAGTGCACCGATCCTGGCACAAGCGATGCCGCCGATCCGCTATCAGCACCACGCTCACGTAGGCCCGCAGGCAGCGAATGAAATCCGCTACTGCGGCTGCTGTTTTCTGCTGCACAGGCATGCACGAAGGCTGCACAAGAGCATCTTAGGCTTCGTATGCGTGCGTGCGCTCGTGCGTGCATAAGTGTGTTTCGTACGGAGCATAGCCCTTGGGGAACTTTGTCAGGTGGCGCTTGCATGATGCTGACGAGCGTGGGGATGAGGCGCATCTGCAGCGGGGCTTGGCACGCCTCGATACGAGACAGCCCCTTGAACATGTCCTCTGCCAGTGACGCCACCACGGGGTCTACGGGGAAAACACCGCTGCTGCCATCACATTCCTCATCCACGCGTACCCACAAACACCAAGATCCCCTGTGCAGCCTTTACCAGACTGTTGGGGCAAGTGCCGTTAACGAGCACCTACGAAGGCCGGCACCGGCGCACGAGAGTGTGGTATGGCCAGGACTACGCCCGGCCGCCGATGCCTCCTGATGGCTGATATGTATATACCCTATCAGATACTCATTTGAGGCCGAGTCGACTTAGGGGATGCCTTGAGCAGGAATCAAACTCGGGTCGCCGGGTTAGTAATGGAGCGCACTAACCACTGCACTACGGCTCCCCACTCGTTCTTTCACACTCTCCCACACACTATCATGCACTCCCATTGATCACATGCACACATTCGTCCACTCTCAAAGACAAAGATCCCAATGTATCCTTAATAGACTATTGGGACGAGTGCTGTTAGCGAGCACCTATGAAGGCTGGCACAGCACAGGAGGGGGTAAGGTGACCAGCACCGCCAATGTCTACCCATTGGCGATGTTCACACTGTTGGTGGTGTTGGCCGTAAGCGACAATGGAACTCGGGTAGCCGGGTTCGTAGCCCGGCGCACGCTAACCGCTACCACACCACCGCTCCCCCGCTCTCTGCACAAACGCACTCACCCTCTCCCATAACGTCACGCACGCACCATTGCTGTACTTGAGGAAGAGCGCGATGGTGAGCGGGCAGACCTTGGCCTCCACGCTGCTCGTGAAGTCGGCGTCGACGGCGCACACCACGCACAGCGTCTCCATCACCAGCGTGAGCACGTCCGACGTGAAGTGCGTCGCCAGCTGCACCAGCGCCTCCACCACCGCCGGCAGGAAGGGGCGGAGCACCTGCACGCTGCCCGCCTGCTTCAGCTGGTCGCAGTAGCTGCGGCGGGGCAAAAGGTTTTCCATGAGTAAGGAATTCTCACGGGGGGGGGGGGGTGGGGGGTCTACAATCTATGGGGTCAAGACCCGACGCCGCGGTGGTGGTGGTGGCGCGCGTCCGTGCAGCGCAAGTCTCACCCCCAGACGGCGCGCACCGCCGAGATGCGCACGGAGGGCGGCTGCGCGTCGTGCAGGCCGCTCACGGTCGCCTGGAGGAAGCGCTGCACCAGCTCCGGGGTCATGAGGCTCGCGAAGCGCGACGCCGACCACAGCGCTCGGCCCAGCAGGAACGGGGAGGCTGCGACGGTACCCGGGTGGTGGTGGTGGTGGCAGTTGAGGTGGTTGTGGTATAATGGTGAAGGTATTGCAGCAGTGGTGGTGGAGATAGTGAGAGCAGTCATTGTGGTGGTGGTGTTGGTGGTAGCGGTTTGTGGTGGCAGCACAGTGGTGGTGGCGGAGGTAGCGGAGGTGGTGGTGCGTGGAGGGGGTGGGAGACAGACACGTACAGAGGGACAGTACAGACAAACGTCGCCATCGCGGGTTTAACAACGTTGCGCGCAGGGCCGCCACGTCTGTGACCGGAGACATCTCGACTCGATACACACCGTATTGGTCACCCCGTGCCCTTACAAATGTCAACGTTCATCCTACAAAGTCCCATCACAAGGGAGAAATACAAGCAAATAGACAAAAACATGTTTTTTGCCCGTATTGAAACGACCGCACGAAGTATGGATCTAAAAACTAAATTTCCCTGTATAGGAATACGGGTAAACCTTATGGGTTGACAGGTACGCTAACGACACGAGCCAATCGTATCCTCACACTAGCTCCACCCCTAATCCTGACCAGACTAGCCAATCACATCCTCACACTAGCTCCACCCCTAATCCTGACCAGACTAGCCGATCGTATCCTCACACTAGCTATACCCCTAACCCTAACTACATGAGCCAATCACACCCTCACACTAGGATCTCAGAAGTCCTGGCTAGGGGCCCCTACACGATAAGCCACTTCGTTGAGCTATCATTTGTGGCAAGATTGCTTCTGAAAACGAGTTGTATACGCTCAGTGGGCCTTACCTGCTAAAAAATGTGTTAATAGTTTAAAAGAGTTTTAGTTTGTCATTCGTGCGTCTCGACGCGTTCGCTGCCTGCAAGGTTAGCGGCACGGCTCAGGTTGCGCGGTGGAAAAACAACCCGGCGCCTCCCGTGCCATGCAGGCCGGGCCAGGCCGGGCCACCTTGGTTAGCAGTGGATTGAAAGGGAAAAGAACGACACCACAGGACGGACGGCTCACCGGACGAGCTGAGGTCGGCGAGCACCACGTTGGTGAGGAAGCCGTCCATGTCGAACTGCACCTTGCCGCTACGGACCGCGTCGATCACGGCGTCCTTCACGGAGCCCAGGGCCAGCATGCACGCCTCGTGCAGCTTCCACCTGCGCACACGACCACCCGCTCACGTCGCATCGCCTACGGCACGTATCCACCAGCACGTGTCCACCAACAATCAATGAGATTCCAAACTCTCCACCATGGCCAAGACCAAAGAGCTCTCCAAGGATGTCAGGGACAAGATTGTAGACCTACACAAGGCTGGAATGGGCTACAAGAACATTGCCAAGCAGCTTGGTGAGAAGGTGACAACAGTTGGTGCGATTATTCGCAAATGGAAGAAACACAAAACAACTGTCAATATCCCTCGGCCTGGGGCTCCATGCAAGATCTCACCTCGTGGAGTTGCAATGATCATGAGAACGGTGAGGAATCAGCCCAGAACTATAAGGGAGGATCTTGTCAATGATCTCAAGGCAGCTGGGACCATAGTCACCAAGAAAACAATTGGTAACACACTATGCCGTGAAGGACTGAAATCCTGCAGCACCCGCAAGGTCTCCCTGCTCAAGAAAGCACATATACATGCCCGTCTGAAGTTTGCCAATGAACATCTGAATGATTCAGAGGACAACTGGGTGAAAGTGTTGTGGTCAGATGAGACCAGAATGGAGCTCTTTGGCATAAACTCAACTCGCCGTGTTTGGAGGAGGAGGAATGCTGCATATGACCCCAAGAACACCATCCCCACCGTCAAACATGGAGGTGGAAACATTATGCTTTGGGGGTGTTTTTCTGCTAAGGGGACAGGACAACTTCACCACATCAAAGGGACGATGGACGGGGCCATGTGCCGTCAAATCTTGGGTGAGAACTTCCTTTTCCCTCAGCCAGGGCATTGAAAATGGGTCGTGGATGAGTCTTCCAGCATGACAATGACCCAAAACACACGGCCAGGCAACAAAGGAGTGGCTCAAGAAGAAGCACATTAAGGTCCTGGAGTGGCCTAGCCAGTCTCCAGACCTTAATCTCATAGAAAATCTGTAGAGGGAGCTGAATGTTCGAGTTGCCAAACGTCAGCCTCGAAACCTTAATGACTTGGAGAAGATCTGCAAAGAGGAGTGGGACAAAATCCCTCCTGAGATGTGTGCAAACCTGGTGGCCAACTACAAGAAACGTCTGACCTCTGTGATTGCCAACAAGGATTTTGCCACCAAGTACTAAGTCATATTTTGCAGAGGGGTCAAATACTTATTTCCCTCATTAAAATGCAAATCAATTTATAACATTTTTGACATGCGTTTTTCTGGATTTTTTTGTTGTTATTCTGTCTCTCACTGTTCAAATAAACCTACCATTAAAATTATAGACTGATCATTTCTTTGTCAGTGGGCAAACGTACAAAATCAGCAGGGGATCAAATACTTTTTTCCCCTCACAGTATTTCGATGGGGCTTTGGAAGTAGTTCTGTAGGCCGATCTCTGACACAGCAGGGCGAAGGGGGGGGGGTAGCGGAAGGGGGGGGGCTCGCGCCGTCTCCACGAGAGATTCCGGACGGATCCCCCCGTGAGAACGCGACGTCGAGAGCGCAAACGGTGAATACATTTGGGAGGAAAAGATCCCAAATTGAACATTAAAACATTTATTCCAAATTCAGTGAAAATACACGAATGTAACTTGACGGGTCTGACGCTCGTTGTGCAGCTGCCCACTCTTCAAGGGTGAGGGGTGAGGGGCGGGTGGCGGTGACTGATTGTGTGAGGGGGAAGAGCCGTTCGCGGCACGACATTAGGAGCTTGCAAGCGACAGATTTTCGCTGGCAATGAGACGGATTTCGGATCTGGCCGGCCAGCCAGGGGAGGGAGAACCACAAGGCGAGTGAGCGAGCGAGCGAGGGACAACAAAAGACAATCTGTGGGGGGTAAGGGGGGGGTGGTTCGAAGACGGCGGCAATCTGAAGGCAGGGCCACACAATGCCGGCCTCGGCACTCGGCAAGAAATAATCAAAACGAGCCACCCGACCGTGCACAATAGTGGCCGAGAGGCAAACGCATCCAGAAAATAATTTCACATTCTGCGTTTGTGCAAAAAAAGTATATATTTATAAATACGTGTTTTTATATATAGTTGGAAAAAGAATGAGCAAGTTGGGTTAGGGCAAGGCATGTCTCTTTTTCGAGAAATCCAGAGTGACAAGTCCAGTGATGGGTGGTCCGAGCAGGGCTGTCAGCTCGACATGACAGTGCACACACTCACGCACGCACTCATTCGCTCACTCACACACACTCACGCACGCGCTCACTCGCACACACTCACACACACTCACGCACGCGCTCACTCGCACACACTCACGCACGCACTCATTCGCTCGATCACACACACTCACGCACGCGCTCACTCGCACACACTCACACACACTCACGCACGCGCTCACTCGCACACACTCACACACACTCACGCACGCGCTCACTCGCACACACTCACGCACGCACTCATTCGCTCACTCACACACACGCGTAAAAGACAAAGATCCCCCGTAAGAAGTTAACAGACTTTTGGAGCAAGTGCTGTTCGCGAGGACCGATGAAGGCCGGCATGACATACAAGGGGGTGTGGGTGGCCAGCACCACACCCGGCAGCCTTTGTCTCCCCAGTGGCGATGTTTACACACCACACCAGGTACTTATTTGAGGCCGAGTCGACCTAGGGGAGGCCCGGGACCAGTTCAGATAATCGTCACCGGTGTTGGCCGTGAGGGAATCGAACTCAGGTCGCGGGGATTCATAGCGCAGCGTGCTAACCGCGACACTATCGCTCCTCACACTGGCACACACACACACGCACTCTCGCTCACTCACTTACCCACAAAGGCATGCACTCACACACTCGCGTCTTGATACAACAACAACAACCGCCATTCGCCACTAAGTGGCGGTGACGTCACCACGACGCTTGTGCCAGGCTATGTGCACCCTGAGGCCACGTGAAGTGTCGAACGCCCGCTGGCAGGAGGTCACGAGGCAGACCCAGGTGCCACGGGTCGACTGACTGAGATGACTGGCTGATGCACCACCTGTGCCCCCTACTGTGCCAACCTGCTGTGCTTTAGCCACCCGGCGCTCCGCTCGTTGTTCTGAGCGTCGCTCCTCCGCCCTCCGTTGTTGTTGGAGGGCGACTGCCTCCAACTGCCCAGTAGCATCCTTCACGAGCCTCCTCCACAGAGGCCGATCTTGACACCGCTGGTAACAGTCATCGACAAGTCCACTCAGCTCCACGTCCTCCTGTACCACATCACTCCATCTCTTCTCTAGCCCGTGCCGCGCCCGCTTAGCTCCCTCAATCCGGCCAAACAAAAGCTGTTTCGGCATGCGGTGGCTGGGCATGCGGGCTACATGACCCAGCCATCGCAGCCTTGCCTGCCGGAGGAGCTCACCGATGGGACCCTGCCCAGATCTTTCAAGGATTTGTGAGCTCCTCACACAATCCAGTCTGGTTAAACCCAGGATGGATCGTAGGCAGGCCAGCCTAAATGTTTCTAACCGGCGAAGATGTTCCATTAGGGGGGTCCACGTTTCCCAAGCGTAGAGAAGGGAGGGAATGACCGTGGCCGAGAAGACCTGAAGCTTAGTGCGGAGCGACAGACCAGGTAGCTTCCACACAGCGTTACGCAACCGATGAAAAGATATTGTCGCTCGACTGATTCGGAGTGGGACCTCTGCTGTTAAACTGGAGCCAGTCATAAGCACACTGCCCAGGTATGGGAAACTCTCCACTCTCTCCACAACTGCCCCATCACCGATTGGGAGTTGTGGGGGTGGAGTGTCCGATGGTACAAAATACCCAGACAGGTGCTTAGTTTTGGTGGGGCTGATGGTAAGGCCCCACCTCTTAGTGGCACGCTCCAGTCTCAGCAGCAGCGTCTCCAACTCCTCCTCTGACTGAGCAGCTATTACCAAATCATCAGCATACATAACGTGGTTGAGCAATAGGGAGCCATCCCTTGACCGCACCGTCTTGGTACGCACACAGACACACATGCAAACGAACACTCTCAGATGCACGTCCTCAACCCAGGCCACATACTAGCAGACGTACGTTCAAGCACGCCTACCCAGACTACACGCACACACACTGGGTTCACACGCTCCACATTATCGCACAGCCCCACAAACAACGACAAAATATTGTCATTGTGTTGTTGTTAGCGAGCCCATATGAAGGCCAGCACGGCACACAAGGAGGTGGTTGGGTTGGTCAGCGCCACGCTCGGCCGCTTTTGTTTCCCGAGTGGCGATTTATACACTGCACCAGGTACTCATTTGAGGACGAATCGACCTAAGGGAGGTCGAACCGCTTCAGATAATGCTCACTGGTGTTGGCCGTGAGCGGGAATCGAACTAGGGTCGCCAGGTTCGTAGCGAGGCACACCACATATACACACACGCGTGTGAGCGCGCGCAAGCAAAACTCCCAAGCGCGGACGCCACGTCTCAAGCGGTCAGACTCAACGGGAGTGACAGCGAGGAGGCGCCAGTGGCTCGCTCGTTCGCTCGCGGCCCACGACCCCCCAGCGATCGGCACCGCGAGTTCAGCAGCGTACCCGTGAGCCCACAAACACCCCCGTACAGCCTTAACAGAATGCTGGGGCAAGTGCTGTTTTAGCGTGTAGCACCTAAGCGGGAAACGAACTCGGGTCGCCGGGTTCGTAGCGGGAGTTTTGATTGTAGTGTGCTGATCTTTAAAGGTGTATTGAAAAATGTGGATACTGCTACTGATACTCCCTGCTGTTATGGAGTGACTCATGCAGCCTGCTATGGCTGCAAAGTTTGGTCGTACATGTTATGTATATCGTTTATTGTAAAATTTTAATCACAGTTCCTATGATCACTGTTACATTGTTTTTATAGCTTTATTTTGATGACAGAGTTAGCCTGATAACTTTAATCTAAATTGTCTTATGGCTGTTATTGGTTGACTTGCATCCCACTGGGATTTTTGCAAACAGCGTTGAAATACGGTGTTTTTTCTGTAAGACTTTTGCTGTTTTTCCCTGTTTTTTTCTGCTGCGTGTAGTCACTTTAAGATGTTTCTTGTTCATGTTTTTGTTTGTTGCGGTTGCACCCGAGTCAAGAGCCGCATGGCTCACAGGGTTATACCTAATAAATGAAACTGAAATGAAAAATGAAATGAAGGGACGGCACAACACACGAGGGGGTGGAGTCGACCTAAGGGAGGCCCAGGACCGGTTCAGACAATCGTCACCGGTGTCGGTGGCCGTAAGCGGGAAACGAACTCAGGTCGCCGGGTTCGTAGCGGGACGCGCTGACCGCTACACTAGGTGAACCCACACGCGCACACACAGAAGCGCACACACAGAAGCACACACACTCTTAGCGCACTCACATGCGTTCAAGCACGCCGGCGAACTGCACAAGCGTCGCCCACGCAATCAACACACGCGTGAACACTCACACTCTCAGACAAAATCACGCAATTACACGCGCGTGTGGGGTGCACGCGCGTGTATTCCCTTGCATAACCACAAGCCATACGAAATCTCACACAGACAAAATAAGGCAAAGACCTCCGATGAAGGCTTTCATAGACTGCGAGGGCAAGCGCTGTTGGGCGAGCAGCAGCGGCACCGATGAAAGCGGCACGGCACACGAGAGGGCAGCGTGGCCAACACCACTAACCGGCCGCCTTTGTCTCCCCAGTGGCGATGTTTCCACACCGCACCATAAACTAACTTAAGGCTGAGCCGACCTCGGGGAGGCTCAGGACCAGTTCAGATATTCGCCGTTGTTATTGCTCGGGAGTGGGAATCCAACGAGGTGGAGGCCTTTAAGAAAGAGGTGGGGCCTTTAAGTGTCTCTCAAAAGTCGGTGTAGATTCAAAGCTGCTGCTGCTGCGAATGCGCAGCAGGGGTGACATTCCCGACGGCCTGGTAATGACGGTCCTGGTCCTTGGCATAGAGAGGAAGAGGTTGTGAAACGCGCTGCTGCTTAGGAGAGTTCTACCGTGAGCTGTATGTAATCACGCGGAACTTCTTTCGCGCCGTACCTAGCTAACCGCGACAATCGGAGGTGCAGGGGAAGGACAACAAAACAAACACCAAAAGCAGTTCTAAAGAAATTCGTTTTCAATCTAGGAGTGCACGGTGGAGCGAAGAGCGATACAGTGGGGGGCGCAAAGGAGAAACGACAGCCCTGGTCCTTGGCATAGAGAGGAGGTTGCGAGTCACCGCTGCAGCGGGGAGTTTCTACCACGAGCTGTAGTTCAGGCCGACAGCAGCGGAGAGGTAACGGGGAAACGATGCCTGGCAAGTCACGGGCCCTTGTTCGTCGTACAGAGGGGGGGGGGGGGGGAAGGTTGCGAATCACGCTGCTTGCTGCTGCTGTTCCTACCGTGCACTGTGGCTAAGGTAACAGAGCAGCCCGCCACCGAACGGACGCGATCGTACCAGTAGGAGCTGCCGGCGTTCCGCGCCTGCTCCGCCTCCTGCAGGTGCCGCGTGGCCGCTGCCGCCAGCGCCGCTGCGCTGTCGCCCTGAAACTCCGCCATGATCGCCTGAAGCACAGGCAGGCAACGCAACGCACGCACGCACAAACACGCATCAACAACAGCCGCCGTTCGCCATGGTGGAGAGACGTTAACTACCTCACCTGGTAGACAGGAGGTCGTGAGTTTGATCCCAACCCTGATGCCTGCTGTATATTTGGAGTGGTCTCGTGGATTTTTCTCAGGGTCCTCCGGTTTTCCCTCCACATTTAGAATCAACGACAATGTGTTTTAGAGCATTTGGCTGCTATAAATTGCGACGTGATGATAAGCCACTTCGTTGGGCTATCATTTGTGGCCTGATTGCTTCTGAAAAAGAGCTACATAGCTCAGTGGGCCTTACCTGGTAAAATGAAGGAAGTTCCGTTTTTTTTAAGTGACGTCACTACAACGCTTGGACCAGGCTAGGTGCGCTTTGAAGTCGTCTCGTGAAGTGCAGAAGGCTCTCGCTGCTGGCTGGAGGTCACGGGACAGACTCAGGCGCTGTGAGTTGGACTTACTGAGGTGAATGACAGATGCACCACCTGTGCTCCTAACTGCGCCAACTCACAAAGGCATACACAAATAAAACATTTGTGTGCATACGTACACGCACATACGGACATGGACACAAATAAACACGAACGTATGCATGCACGTACACATGCATGCATACTCAAAAGACACACGCACACACAAAGATCCCCTGAATTGCCTTGAACAGACTGTTGGGGCGATGCTGTTAACGAGCACCTATGAAGGCCTGCACAGCATACGAATGGGTGGGTGACCAACACCACGCCAGGCCGCCTTTGTCTTCCCAGTGCTGATGCTTAATATGCCGCACAAGGTGCTCACTGAAGGCCGAGTCGACCTAGGGGATGTTCACGACCAGTTAAAGTATTCGCCGCTGGAATTGGTCTTGAGCGTGAATCAAATCGGGGTCATAGCAAAGTGCACCAACCACTGCACCCCACTCCCTACGCAGGCACGCGCGGACAGCCATGCCCACGCAAACACACACGCACGCATACAGAGAGACACATGACGCACGAGCGTCCTCTCCGTGTCCTTATCACCCACCGACACACCGACTGCCATAGTAACCCTTTCCATTAGCCCCACCAGGGCCACCAGCTTGCCTCGCCCCCCCCCCCCCGTGCCCCCCACTGCCCCCCTCACCAGCAGCATGTCCTGAGCAGAGATGCGCACAGAGTAGGAGAGCGTGTCGTCGTCCTCGTCCTCCACAAACTGCTCCGGGTTCGCCGTCCACACCTTCACCTGCACCGCACGGCGGGCGTCACGGCACGGCAGGCGTCACGGAACGGCGGGAGTCACCGCACTCTGAGCGTCACGGCACGGCGAGTATCACGGCAACTGTCACGGTGAGCACCAAGACCCGGCGAGGATCACGGCACAGCGAGCGTCACGGCAATGGCGAGGGTCATGGCATGGCGAGGGTCATGGCATGCGTCACGGCACGCTCTGGGGGGCTCGCTGAGCCTGCCAGACGGTCCTCGCCGAGGCACCTGTGGAGTGCTACGAAGACTCCCACAGTCACAGTACCACCTCACTCACCCACAGGCAGAGTACCACCTCACTCACCCACAGTGACAGTACCACCTCACTCACCCACAGTCACAGTACCACCTCACCCACCCACAGTCACAGTACCACCTCACTCACCCAGTTACAGTACCATCTCACTCACCCACAGTCACAGTACCACCTCACTCACCCAGTGACAGTACCACCTCACTCACCCACAGTCACAGTACCACCTCACTCACCCACAGTGACAGTACCACCTCACTCACCCACAGTCACAGTACCACCTCACTCACCCAGTGACAGTACCACCTCACTCACCCACAGTGACAGTACCACCTCACTCACCCAGTGACAGTACCACCTCACTCACCCAGTGACAGTACCACCTCACTCACCCACAGTGACAGTACCACCTCACTCACCCAGTCACAGTACCACCTCACTCACCCAGTGACAGTACCACCTCACTCACCCACAGTCACAGTACCACCTCACTCACCCAGTCACAGTACCACCTCACTCACCCAGTGACAGTACCACCTCACTCACCCACAGTGACAGTACCACCTCACTCACCCACAGTCACAGTACCACCTCACTCACCCACAGTCACAGTACCACCTCACTCACCCACAGTCACAGTACCACCTCACTCACCCAGTGACAGTACCACCTCACTCACCCACAGTCACAGTACCACCTCACTCACCCACAGTCACAGTACCACCTCACTCACCCACAGTCACAGTACCACCTCACTCACCCAGTGACAGTACCACCTCACTCACCCACAGTCACAGTACCACCTCACCCACCCACAGTCACAGTACCTCACCCACCCACAGTGACAGTACCACCTCACTCACCCACAGTCACAGTACCACCTCACTCACCCACAGGCAGAGTACCACCTCACTCACAGTCACAGTACCACCTCACCCACCCACAGTCACAGTACCACCTCACTCACCCACAGGCAGAGTACCACCTCACTCACAGTCACAGTACCACCTCACTCACCCACAGTCACAGTACCACCTCACTCACCCACAGTCACAGTACCACCTCACTCACCCACAGTCACAGTACCACCTCACTCACCCACAGTCACAGTACCACCTCACTCACCCACAGTCACAGTACCACCTCACTCACCCACAGTCACAGTACCACCTCACTCACCCACAGTCACAGTACCACCTCACTCACCCACCCCACAGTACCACCTCACTCACCCACAGTGACAGTACCACCTCACTCACCCAGTGACAGTACCACCTCACTCACCCACAGTCACAGTACCACCTCACTCACCCACAGGCAGAGTACCACCTCACTCACCCACAGGCAGAGTACCACCTCACTCACCCACAGTCACAGTACCACCTCACTCACCCACAGGCAGAGTACCACCTCACTCACCCACAGTCACAGTACCACCTCACCACCCACCCCACAGTACCACCTCACTCACCCACAGGCAGAGTACCACCTCACTCACCCACAGTCGCAGTACCACCTCACTCACCCAGTCACAGTACCACCTCACTCACCCACAGTCACAGTACCAACTCACTCACCCACAGTCACAGTAACACCTCACTCACCCACAGTCACAGTACCACCTCACTCACCCACAGTGACAGTACCACCTCACTCACCCACAGTGACAGTACCACCTCACTCACCCACAGTCACAGTACCACCTCACTCACCCACAGTGACAGTACCACCTCACTCACCCACAGTGACAGTACCACCTCATTCACCCAGTCACAGTACCACCTCACTCACCCACAGTCACAGTACCACCTCACTCACCCACAGTGACAGTACCACCTCACTCACCCACAGTCACAGTACCACCTCACTCACTCACAGTCACAGTACCACCTCACTACCCACCCCACAGTACCACCTCACTACCCACCCCACAGTACCACCTCACTCACCCACAGTCACAGTACCACCTCACCACCCACCCCACAGTACCACCTCACTCACCCACAGTGACAGTACCACCTCACTCACCCACAGTACCACCTCACTACCCACCCCACAGTACCACCTCACCCACCCTCCCAACACGTGACCTCGTCACCCCCCACGAATCCATTCACGCGGATATAAGTAGAACATCAGCCATCCACTGCACTTCTAATTCCATCTCCCTTCTCCCCGTCCCATCGCGTCGATCCTTCGGGAGAGGGCTGAAATGCATCCGCATACGTCTCGAAAATATTACGGACCAAGTAAACCCCCCCCGCCCATTCCCACCAAAGCAGGAGTTGAACTCCAAACCTGTCGACTGTGATCCGGTCGCGCTACGGCTGAGCCACCTGGCCAGCGTACGTACACACGATACACAAGACACAGACTGCCGGGGTAGCCTTCATGGACTTTTGGGGCAAGTGCTGTGTTAGCAAGCACCTCTGAAGGCCGGCAGCGGCGCACAAGAGGGTGAGTGGCCAACACCAAGCACGGCCGCCTTTGTCTCCCTAGTGGCGATGTTTACGCATCGCACCAGCTACTCAATTGAGGCCGAGTCGACCTCGGGGAGGCCTAGAACCGATTCAGATAATCGTCACTGGCGTTGGCGGTGAGCGGGAATCGAACTTGAGTCACCGTGTTTGTAGCGTAGCGCGCCAACCGCTACACTACCGCTCCCCATATGACACGATAGACACGCGTGCGTGCGTGCGCACGGTACACACGCACACACGTGCGCACGCTCGCGCTCAACTCCGCCAGCGAGGCGTTCTCTCCGCGGGGAGAGACGGAGACACGCGCTGGTCACCACAGGGGTTACACTTCGCGGGAGAAACCGCCCAGGGGAGTGCACATTACCCCCATTAATCATTCATCGGAGCCCCAGGTGCAGACGTAAGCGAGCGTGCGCGCCTCTGATGTCGCACGACGGACGCCGGCGTTCGGCTTTGCGTTTGAATCCATGGATCCTACAGCTGCGGGAATAACGAGACCTCACGCAGTCCAAAAGATGACAATGATTTGGTTTTGGACGAGCATGGCTGGGGCAGTTGGGTGGGTGGGGTGGGGGGGGCGAGGTGTGACGTCAGCACGACTCACGAACCCGGCGCAACGCTGTGGGGATGCGGGTGACGTCACCGCCGAGCACTCGCCTGCCCGCGCGCCAGCCGTCCAGCCAGCGAAACTTTTTTTTAAAACAGCAAGTTAGATCCGCCCACGTATACGCCGGGAAATCTCACAGTGCTTCACGTCGCGTTTCATCTCAACACATTTTGAAAGGGGACCCAGGGAACACGAGTGTTAGCATCAGCCAGGCCTGCCTGCGACAGAAAACCGGAAAACATTGCTGCACGTGACAGACCAGCATAAACCTCTGGCTGTAACCGTGGCTAATGTCTACCAGGGTGCCAGAAAATGTTCGTACATAAAGACAAAGATCACCCCTCATGGCCTCAACAGATTTTTGGGGGCGAGTGCTGTTCGCGAGCACCTATGAAGGCTGGCACGGCACACAAGGAGGTGGGGTGGCCAATAACATGCCCGGCCGCCTTTACCTCCCCAAATTGCTGGTGTTTGCACACTACACAAGGAACTCGTTTAAGGCTGAATTGACCTCGGGGAGGCCCAGAACCGGTTTATTTATTTGGTTTTACCCTGTGAGCCATTCGGCTCTTGATTCGAGTGCAACCGCAACAGACACTAAAATTACAAGATACATTTAAAATTTACTGCACGCAAATTTAAACATCTTCTATAAAAACAATTAAATCTTCCGGAAAAAGCACCAATATGTTTATGCTGCGTACAAAAAATGTGCAAAAATTCCAGTTTGATGTTAGATCACAATAACAATCACAATACAATCTAGATTAAAATTCTAAGTATAACTCTAAACTGCAACATATATTCACCACTGTTATTGGACCGTGAGAACGGGAATTCAACTTGGGTCAACGGGTTCAAAGCGCAGTGCAGCAATTCACTACCTTCCGTTCCCCACGCATATACAAAATAAGTTCAACATCCGTACACACACATTCAACAAAAAACACCGTATTCCGTAGTATTATTATCTAGATCATGAGAGGCACCCCAATCTTGTGCCCAGCGCCAACGCGGTTACATAAACCTGGTCTCACACAGGCACACAGCACCCCTTCGACTCTCGCATTAAAGCGCAGGGGGGACTCAAACTGTTTCATGGCAGCGTAAACTACTTACATTCACACGGAGTAGTACATTCTGAAGATTCACACCAATACGGATTCTACCGATTCACTGCACTCTGATATCCGATGAGATTTAAACCGCTTCTACAGGATTACACCGCTGTAGATACATGTATATCATGCAACAATCGCTGTAGCAAACAAAAAATAAATAAACAATCCGCCCGCGAGTTGAATTGTGACCCCTGGAATTGCGGCAATTCATCAAACGTGGCGACACGGGTGGCATCGTTACAACTATTTTCTGCGTTCATTTTGTTATTTCATTTCATTCTTGGGGGGGGGGGCAGAACAAGACCGCCTCGTATCTGCCGGAAAGAGGCCATCCTGCCCGCTCTTGTGTTCTGCTCTCGCAGGTCGATATATCCGAATCACTCGACCGCCTGATTGCCACATCATCGAGTTCAATCAGCCCGTTCGTAGGAGCCCGTAGCCACCGCCCTCAAGGTGAACGGGTGGGTGGGTGAGTGGGCGAGTGCATAAGATAACTCGTGGGTGAGCTGTCGAGTGGACGAGCGAGTGATTAGGTGGGTGAGCGAGTGACTAAATGAGTGGGCGAATCGAAATTGAGTGACCTCTCGTGTTTGCTCTCACCTCCGATCAGCACGGTCGACTATGTATGGTGCGAGAGAAGTTCAGCATGCGTAAGTACATACACAGATCAGCATCCATATCAGTAATCCCATCGAGTTCAATCAACCTCCCCGCTCCATGTTCTAGCCACCACCGTGTGAGGGGCAGTTCTCAACGATGTGCACGGCCGTTTGCTGGGTGGCTCCAAGCACACGCAGTGGGGAGTGCCGCACAAACTCAAACTGCGAAGCGCTGCCACAATGAGACCTGGAAACGGACGTTGATTAACAAAGTGTACTCGACCACACCTTTCCTGTGGTGGATTACTCGGCTTTCTCTGATATGAGCCCGCACTCTGCCGCACCGCCTTCTACTGTCGAGCCGGCGTACGGCAACCACACCTCGACGCCCACGGTAACGCGAGTTTCGCAGCATTCGTGCGGTGATCCACCAGCCCTCGCTGCTGGCTGCATGGCGCTGCGTCAGCCACGTGCCGCCGCCGCCCGGCCGTTTAAAGCGAGCGGCGCGCGCGGCAGGCGCAATGGCACGGGCCGCATCCCCGTCGCCTCCCGACGGCGCAGGAACCACGCGGCGGCGCTCGGAGCCCACCGCCGTGGTCGCTCGGCGGGCGGGGCCGAGCGTCGCGACTTAACGAGGCGTGGCGCAATTACCGCGCTGGCGCCGACGTGAATTTATTAACGCGCGGCCGCCATCGCGCAACACGGCACGGGAGTTCGGGGCGGGTGGTGGGGGTGTTGGGCTGACACACGCTGGGGGAGGGGTAGAGGGAGGCGATGATCGATTGGGGGGAGGGAGGACAAGATAGCTCTGGCCGTATGATGCAATGCACAGACTTCATATCTGCATAATAAGCAGCTGCTCTGTACGTGTGTGGGGGGAGGGGGGGGAAAGGGGATCGCTGCAGCGCAGGCCAAAGGGCCCAGAACACCAAAGTGGCCAGCAACAAACAGGGACGAACCACTCCGGCCTCCTCTGTGTGTGCTGTGAAAAAGGGCCATCGCCCGAAACGTCGCCTAATTATGCTCAACATTTTCTCTTCAAGGGCACTGCTGCATTATTGCCGAAAGCGTTGAATTTTGCTGTTATTGTTAAAGTTGCAGGATGCAAGAGCATGCAACCAATTTGCTGAATTTATTACAAGAGCTTGGAGCGTACGGGAAGAGACGATTGCAGGAAATTCCAAAGTGGAGGAGCGTAGGGAAGAAGCAGAAAGAGAAGAGTTGTGTGCGACCTGCGGTGCGGTAATCGAGTGGGCGAGTGAGTAGGTGGGTGGGCGAGTAGGCGGGTGAATGAGTCCACCAACGTCGCTCGTTCGCTCAATTCTAAGACAAGTACCACTTGGTCGATTAAAAAAGAAAAAAATGACTGATCCACGGAATTGACCGTGGCGATTCACCAACATCGCGGTACCGGTCTGGCCGACGCATCTCTGTTTTGTTTTGTTATTTTCGTGTGCGGCGGAAAAGTTTGGCTACGGTGAGCGTCAGTGTGGCCTCCCAACTTCACCGACCTCTGTTTCACAACAAATCGCCGTCAGCCGCGTCCTCTCCCTGTTCACGGCAACGGGGCCCGAGGCTTCATCCCCTCCATCCATCGCCGACATAAATTCTTATTCCGCTCGCGTTAGAGCAAGCATCAGAGTGAGCGAGAAAGAGAGAGAGAGAAGCGAGCGTTAAGAGTGAGCCGGAGAGCAAGCGTCAGAGCGAGTGAGAGAGCGAGTGAGAGAGCGAGTGTCAGAGTGAGCAAGAGACGAGTGACAGGGCGAGCGAGCGACAGGTCGAGCGAGCGACAGGGCGAGCGAGCGACAGGGTGAGCGAGCGACAGGGCGAGCGAGCGACAGGGCGAGCAAGCGACAGGGCGAACGAGATAGAGAGAGAGCGAGCGCTAGAGAGAGCGAGAGAGAGGAAAGCGAGAAAAAGACCGTGACCATTGTTGACCGAGAGGCAAGAGAGAGACACATTCGCTGGAAGGGTTAAAGCAGCCAAAGGAACATTTCCCCGGGAGCGAAGGCACGGGGCGGACCCCCCGCGCGGCGCACACTCGGTATGCAAAGCGGCAGCCGCAGACTTCATTAGCACACTTAATGGCGCGCCGAGCGTGAGCTGAATTGCCAACGGCATGCGGGGACCGCCAAAGCCACAAATTAACATTTAGATAAAAGCATCGGGAGTGGGGGGGGGGAGGTGGAGGTGGGGGGGACGACGCACGCAGAATGTAAAAAACATGAGCGAGCGTGAGGAGCTCGCTCGTAAACTCAAGTCCTCCCAATCCTCGCTTGCTCACCACCTTATCAGTCCCCACCGTCAAATCGCTCCCCAATTTCCTCCCCCCGCCGAAGCGGCTGCATAATTTGCCTGCGTGCGACCTCGCGATCGTTAGCCCCCACCGCCGGGCGGCGCCTCAAGCCGGGCGTGTAACGGCGCATCGACTCCCCGATCAGTGCCGACGACCCAAGCGCTCGCGACGTGCACGTGCGCATCAATCCACGGCCGGAAGAGGTGCCCCCCCCCCCACCCTCTCTCTCACCCTCCCCCCCCAACTACGCCCATTAAGGTCGCGAGGGGTTATGTGACCGTTACTTCACCAGTTCGGAGAAGGCGGAGGAGGGAGCTTTGATGCGGGCATCATGGATAGTACGGCACAACAACGGACTTGTTGCACTGCAACCACCCCCTGCAGACACCTTGGCCATAATGATGTGGGCAAGTGGCTGCAGCTGCCCTTAAAGCGTTCAGCAGTGCCCTGACAAAAAGCTGCAGAGCGCATCTTGCTCCTTGTCCTGAGAGGTACCCTTCACTCTTAGCCCCTAGGGCAGCCCCACCGCACAGCGCCCATGGATCCCAGGGCCTGCCCACACCCCGCTAGCCCTCAGGGCAGCAACTGCTCCTCGGTGATGTGTCGAGAATGAGGCAGACCCTAAGGCTAGCCCACACGCATAGCCCACACCTCACGGATATTCACGCTCAAACATAGCCCCCCAGGGGATAGTACACACACACACGCGCACACACACACACGGCTAAACCCCCTGGGCTCACACATAGCCCCCAGAGCTAGTCCTCAAAGCCATAGCCTGCAGGGCTAGCCGCACACACAGGCTCCTCAGGGCAGCCACACACGAACACACATAGCCCATAAATATACGAAACATACATATTAATTTACTTACTCTTTGGTTGTTTCGGTAAAGTCACGTAGGTCGAAAAATAATAATAATAGATCAGCAGGATAACTGCTGTATCTGTTCCACCTGATGATGGTCGCTTGTGTTGTGACCGAAACGTCGTGATCTATTATTATTTTTCTACCTACGTGACTTTACCGAAAGAACCAGAGTATGGATTCCTGCAGTCACGAAAGCTTCAAATCAAGATTAATTTACTTATTTATCCAGGAGAGACACACTTAAGCCCTCGGACTATTTTTAAGCAGGGTCCTGCATTGGTTGTTTTTATTTCAAGAAGCTTTCAGCCAATTATTCATAAATGTTAGACCATTTGCTGTACTGCCTTCTCCTGGCGAGCCAGGGCATGGCACCTTCTCGACAACCCACCAACCCTCGCCTCCAGAGTGGCGGATAACAGGCGTGCATAACCACCGCTGCCCATCTAACACCCAGAGTGACCTCAAAGACAAAGATGCCCCCCGTGTAGCCTCAAAAGACTGTTGGGGCACGTGCTGTCGCGAGCACCTAAGAAGGCCGGCACGACACAATAGAGGGTGGGTGTCCAACACCACGCACGGCCGCCTTTGTCTCCCTAATGCCGATGTTTGCTCACCACACCAGGCACTCATTCGAGGCTGAGCCGACCTAGGGGGGGGGGCAGAACCGATTCAGATAATCATCACTGGCGTTGGCCATGAGCGGAAATTGAACTCGGTTCACCGCGCACACACGCACGCACAGACACAAACCCTACAGCGGCTCTGAACAAAAATCATAGCAGCCAGGATCCCCCCCAACGAACAAAGCCACCGGGACAGCCCCCTTAAACACACAAATAGCCCCCAGTGCTCACCTGCTCCTCGGTGATCTGAGCGTAGAGAATGAGGTAGTAGATGAGGTCGGGCAGGGCCTTGCGCAGGGTCCCACGGAACCGCGGCGCCTCCAGCAACGCGTGCACAAACTCAAAGATGCTGAACACCAGATTCTCAAAGCCCAGCACCTCGCCTGCGTGGCCAGAGGGCGGGGGGGGGAGGGCCGCGGAGGGGCAGGGTTAGGGTCAGGCCAAGGATGTCACACGTCACCCGAGTCACAGGCGGCGTGGTGGTGGGATGTTGACATCCTCGCCCGGTACGCGGGAGGTCGTGGATTCGATCCCGACCACCCCCCCCCCCCACACCGACACTTTAATTTAGAGTTTGCGCGTCTCTCTCCCCGTGGTCGCGGGTCACTCAGGTCAAAGGTCATCCAGAAGGCGACACGTGACAAGGAAAGTGACAGGTAACTGTGAAAGAGGTCATTCGGATGCATCGTGTGAGCAATAAATACATTTTCTTGTGCAGCCATTTGCCAATCCACTGCTGGGTGATAAAATTCCGAGTTAAAATGCAAACAAAACTAAGTCTAGCGAATTGCCAACACAAGTGAGAGGCGTAGATGGCCTATCCACGTCGTGTAGCTCGTGAGGGCGGTTTGACCATCCTCCACCTGGCTGAACTTGAACTTCCCTCGCACCATACGTAGCCAACCGTGCTAATTGGAGGTAGGAGAGGGGTGGCGGCGGCAGCAATGGTTCCGATATCACTGATGTTAGCCGTCTCTGGGAGATTAACTCGGATTATCTGGTTCGCGGTGTTAACCACTGCACCACCACACTCCCCCTTCTCCCCCCCCCCCCTTCTCCCCCGTGAGTAGGCAATGCGCGAGTTGAGGACACGCACCGTCTGAATCGACGGGGTCGGACGCCTCCTCCATGAAGTTCACCTCCGTGCGGACGTATGTACAGCGTGGTGAAGGCGGGGAAACCTCACGGTGGCAGCGTCAACAACTCAACAACGATACGCACGAAACCATCGAGCTCGGGCCCGCCAATCGAACGTTCGTGACGTTTCCATCGCCGATCAGCCGCGCCTGTGCCGGCCGTTAGCTTCAATCGGCGTCGCCGGCCGGCGAAGCCAGCGACGGTCACCTTCGTTACCATCATCGCGGCGGTCAGCGTCATAATCGGCGGCCGCCATTGCCGATCCCGTGCCGCGTTTCGGCGAAGGCCGCGAGGATGAAACCGCGCTGGAGATCAGAACGGGGTGGTGGTGTGGGGGGGGGGGTGATGACGTGGCTGCTTTAACCCTCGCGGAGAGCGAGTGTGTGCGGACGTCATGCAATAAAAGCGTGCGGTGCACACGCAGGCACCAGGCCCTAGCAGGGAAAACAATATATGTAAAACTATGAATATTTTTTTTTTATTTTACCAGGTAAAGGCCCCACTGAGCTATGTAGCTCTTTTTCAAAAGAGACCTGGCCATGAATGATCGCCAACTGAAGTGGCTTATCATCACGTGGAAACGTATAGCAGTACAAATACTCTACTCGCTTGATGTTGATTATAAATGAGGGGGAAATGCGGAAGAGAAAAATCCACACGACCACAGGGAGACACATGCAAACTCCAAATATACAGCAGGCGTGAGGATCGAGATCGAACCCACGACCTCCTGTACACCAGGCGAGGTAGTTAACATCTCCTAGCCACCGTGATGATGATGAGAGAGAGAGAGAGACGTGCAAACTCGAAATATACAGCAGGCGTGAGGATCGGGATCGAACCCACGACCTCCTGTATACCAGGTGAAGGAGTCAACATCTCACCACCGTGGTGCCTATATATAAAAAAAAAGCCTTGGGGGGCGGTGACGACAGAGGACAAGGGCAGCCCGCTGCAAACACGTTGTCTAAATCACGGCGGGCGAGCCCCCGAGCGTACGCACGGGGGCGCCGACCCAGGGGGTGGTGCGGGCGCTATTAGCAGGTGACGCGGAGGTGCGTGCCGAATTTCCCTTCGAGAATGGAGAGGCGAGCGCCGGGGAGGGGGGGGGCGGAGGAAACGAGCGTGACGCGGAGCGCGAGCGGGGGAACGCGGCGGCATGCGCGCACGCATGCACGCGGGAGCGATCGCGCACGCGCACACACACGCGCACGTAAGCATTTGCTTGTACACTTACACACCAGCACAAAGATCCCCCCCCCCCCCCCCCCCGTAGCTGGTGGGGCGAGTGTTGTTCGCGAGTGAGTTTGACGGCCGTCAAGGCGCACGAGGGGGTGGGTGGACAGGCACCACGCCCGGCCGCCTTTGTCTCCCCAGTGGCGATGTTTTACACATCGCGCCAGGTACTAATTAAGAGTCTAAGTCGACCTAGGGGAGGCCCAGTACCGGTTCAGATGATCGTCACTGGCGTTAGCCGTGAGCGGAAATGGAACTCGGGTGTCCGGGTTCATAACACGAACCACTGCACTACCACTCCCCACACACACACACACACAAATCGCACACACGCCTAAACATACGCACGCACGCGTGCTCACGCAAGCGACCAGATTGCACTTGAAATTTCAATAATTAGCTGTCAAATTTTCTGTTCTATTTTCGGTGGCGAGGCATCGATTCTGCACGCAGAGACCAAGAGCAAGCAAAAAGCAACAAAAAAAACAGCCATCTAAATTCAACCCCCCCCCCCCCCCCCCCCCCCCCCCCCCCGATCGCCGCGGCAGAAACCATCGAAAGCTTTTAGCGGAATCGCTGCTCGCCGCTCGCACGTCTGCGGCGGTGACATCTCTCAGCCGCGGCCAGCACGAGTGCTCGCCCGCCCGCCCGCCCGCCCGCCCGCACCCTGTGATTTCCGCGGACCTGTTGTGCGCCCCATGACAAGATTACTATCATCGGCTCTCTTCTCACGGCGCACGCTTCACTCAGCGGGAGAAAGAGCGGCCTGGGGAGAATCGGGGCTTCTAGCGGCGACGCCGCCGTCAGGAGGGCCGGCGCCTACCGCTCGACGGGCGGCTGTCCCCCGCGGAGCCGGAAAAGTGACATCGGGCAACCAGAAAGGAGCGAACCCTGCCCCCCACCAGGGGTGTCCGCGGCAGTGGTCCAGCGCAACCACGACCGCCACCAACGTCGCCATCGCCCCCCTCATATCCCCCCCCCTAGGTATTCCCTTCGTATGCTCGTTATCTTCCCCCCCCCCTTCTTCCACCACCACCACCACCCCAATCTTCACTCTTCCCCCTATGCGGTGGGCCCCACTTGGTTGGGGCAAGCAGGCATTATTTCACAACCGAAAATTCCTGTGGATTTTTTTCGCCCCTCGCCTACTGGGCAGCGACGCATTGTACCGGGCCCACAAATAAAAACATCAAAAAAACATCCGCCGCCGCCACGTCCTCCACTATCACGATCACTGCCACCACTGTCATTTCCACCATCGCCGCCACCAACATCGCTCGCTTCCATCACCAGTTTCATCACGGGCGGCTACAACCCGGATTGGAACCCAGGAAGGCAGCGGCTCAACGTCTCCGGAGCCTCTGATCAACCTCACACAGTCTCGCCCCTCTCTTAAGTTCGGTCTCATCTGTTCCGTCTCGTTTGTTCCGTCTCATTCGCTAGATTACCCTACGTGCAGTAATTCCATTTCATTAACATGCACTGTGCGTAAATCATATCCTGCTCTCGCACACACACACACACAAAAATCCCACGTCTGTGTCCCGACCGCAACGCTCGATTTTCATCGCCGATTCGTTACGCGCATAATTCCGATTTGCCCGTTGCACGTGGGCAGAGAGCTCTTGGGATTCCGAGGTGGGTTGCAGCCACCGGTGACGTAACTGGGTTCTCAAGCGCAGAAAAGAGTTCCATGTGTGTCAACGTGCCTCATCGTTCACCTCCTGGTTAACGTCGAGGAAACTGCTAAACACAAAAGACGCTACGGTCTGTTCTCCTACAATGCCGCGTGTTGTTTTCGTCACGCGAATTTGATATGACGCGATGAAGAATGCAGTAGGGAACATTCTTTTTATAACGCGGACGCGAATTGGATGTAACGCGCTCGAGTGACCGAAACTACGTCACAGCCCGAGTAGGAATAAGCGGCCGTACGGCTGCCTCGGTGTAGCATCATCGCACAAGGCGGGATTGCTGCTGGATGCTTCTAGATGCTACCCAAGCGCCTCGGTCTTCTCTTCGGCCTGCGTGCGCATCTCACGTGTTATCGCGGACTGTGCTTCACCCTACATTATATTTGATTTATTATGAAGCAATTTTTCCATAATTGCGCTGTTCTTCAGGAACGCAACAACTACGACCGTGTTACAGGAGGAAAGACTGTACTTCTTACGACTGCACAATAAAAAAAGGGAAAAAATGATCCATCACGTTAAATCTGCTTTGTCACTGAATTTGGTTAAATTCAGCTTGAAAAATTTGTGGGATTGCCGAACAATCTCAGAGAGCTTTCCGAGCGGATTAATCATCTCCTTGACAGTGCGCCGATCGCGCGTTTGCAATAAATCTTTTATGGAGGAATTAAAGCGACCGGTTATAAACATGAATACAGTACACCCTAATATATATAAACCTATAGTAATAGGTTTTTACCCTTTTAGCTGGGACAAAAACTGACACCTTTATACAAGGGATCAGGTTTGCAATAACCACAACACAAGCAGTCAAAAATGCAAACAAAAAGAGACAACTCTGATAATGATATGCACTGTCCTTGAATTTGATTGGTCCACACCCGAGACGGCTTTTCTTAGAGCCTAGTCTCCACTGGTGTTGGACCAGATGACGCCTTTTGGCGTACAACTGTTGTACAACAGTTGCACATATCATTATCAGAGTTGTCTCTTTTTGTTTTCATTTTTGACTGCTTGTGTTGTGGTTATTGCAAACATGATCCCTTGTATAAAGGTGTCAGTTTTTGTGCCAGCTAAAAGGGTAAAAACCTATTACTATATCTTGTTACTGGCAAAGGAGGTCTCATAATATATAAACCAACCGGGGGGGATTAAACGATGTTGAATTTAGGGCCCCCAATGTTCCGGAGAGGCGTTGTAAACGGCGGCCCCCTGAGATGCAACGCCATCAAGGAAGGTGACCCTCAATTCCATTTTCCTTTTCTCTCACCCTTCTGCTCCGCAAAGGAACCACAACAAAAAAACGCAACCCACTTTGTGGAATAACGACCTCAATTAAGCGAGCCCTGTTTCCCACGGCGACGCACAAACATCAAAGGTTTTGGAAGAGATGCGGTGTGGGGAGGGGTGATGATTGGTGGTAGAGGAGGAGGGGAAGGAGGAGGGGGGGCGGAGTGGATGGAGTATACTCAGCCGAGCGCCAGCAGCCGCATCTCACAGCACCCTCATCTCACAAAAGACCAAGATCCCCCATATAGCCTGCACAGACTGTTGGGGCAAGCGCTGTTAACGAGCACCTATGAAGGCCGACACCGGTCCAACGCCACGCCCGGCCGCCTTTGTCTCTCGAGTGGCGGTGTTTACACATTGCAACCAGGTACTCGCTTGAGGCTGAGTCGACCTAGGGGAGGCCCAGGACCGGTTAAGATAATCGTCACCGGTGTTGACCGTGAGCGGGAATCGAACCCGGGTCGCCGGGTTCGTAGCGCAGCTAACCGCTTACCCTACAGCTCCACCTCATCTCACACCTACGCGAGCAGAAACACCCGCGTCTCACACCCTCGTCGTGTGTCAATACTGTCACCTCACACCAACGCCATGACCACAGGCCAGAGAGCCACAACACACCGGTGGCCCCACATCTCACACCTCCGCTCCCCAGGTACGAATAATTTCCGCACAAACTCGTGCAGGGACTCAAACATGTATATATATATTTTTTTTGTTTAAGATTGAAAACGTGATGAGCGAGCGAGCGTTGCGTGCGCGCGAAATAATTTAATAACCGTGCAAATTACAGGAGCAGAGGGGGGGGGGGAGGGGTGGTGGTGTAGGGGCGGCGCTCTTGGCTGCCGTGACCCAAAAAGGCAACAATTATTATCATTTACGCTTTCACTAAAAGCGGTGGTTATCCGTCCTGACTGCACAATGGCAAATTACTTTAATTGCACGACAAAAGCCACGAACACCGGGGACGAATCGCTCGACTCGAGGTTCGTGCCGGGGTTGTTTTTTTTTTCTTTTTAAAGACTATCGTACGCTCGCGGCTTGCGGCAACGGAACGCAGCGATCACAAGCGGCGACCGCGTTTGCTCCGCTGGGGTGGGGGGGGGGGGATGGGCAGGCGAGCGCGGCGGGGGAGAGAGGGCTGGGGGCGGTGATGGTGTGACGCAAATCACGCAAGGCACATCGGTCCGCACATCCCATCAGCGGGCCGCTTTGTTGCTGCTGCTGCTGCTGCCGCTGATAGAGAGACAATGGGTTGAGGCGGGAGGGGGTTCTCGCCTGGCAAAATGTGAAATATATTTTTTTTAGCTTTTCTGGAATAAAATCCATACCCGCACGCACGGGTGCACACGCACAAGAGGGGCGGCGGCGGTGGCAGCGGAGGGTGCCCTGTCATCAACGCAGAAATCCATACCGATACCGGCGACACGGCCGCAATATCGCAATATTATTACCGCGTCGAGCCGTCGAACAGGGGCGACCGCAGTGCCGGGCGTCACATGACCGTCACGGGCAGATAGATGGGGGTCGCGACCTCACAGGCAATGAGGTAACAACCCAACCCCCGCCGCCCAGTTCTATACAAACCGCTGCCCCTATCCCTTTGCGTATCGCCCAGCGCACGCGGATGCGGAGGACGGAGGAGGCACACGGAGGCGACGCTGGTTCCATGAAGGATATATGGTGGCGCTTTGGGTGAGCGTGTTCCACACGATGGGCAGGATTTGCTGCATGGAGGGAGACATCTGCTTGGGGAAGCTCTTGACCAGCGCTGTGACGGCCTGCGTGTGGAAACAAGGGCACGCGGACAGATTATGGGTACACGCTTGGACAAACGGGTACACACGGAGGCAAGGATGGACACGTGCACATGGATGCACATGGACACGTGCAGCTATAAAGGCACAGGCACACATGGTCATGCACAGACGCATGGAGGTATGGATGGATAGACAGTCATACATGGACAAGCAGAGGACACACAGTCACACATGGACAAAGCAAGATACACATGGACAAACACAGACTCACATGGGCACATAAATTTAGCCACTGACGGCCAAAGACAAAGACCCGACCGACAGCTATTACAGACTCTGGGGCAAGTGCTGCTTGCGAGCATCTATTAAGGCCAGGACAGTACACAAAGCACAACCGCCTTTGTCTCCTCCCCAGTGGCGATGTCTACATACACCACACAAGTACTCGTTTGAGGCCGAGTCTAACGAAAGGGAGGCCCAGGACCGGTTCATAAAATCGTCACTGGTTTTGGCCGTGAGCGGGAATCGAACTTGGGCCTCCGGGTTCGTGCCGCAGCGCGCTAACCGCTGCGCCACCACTGCCCAGTAATGGCCACACACACACACACACGAGGTTATCATTAAGGACGGCTAAGGATGGAGAAATGCAAATAAGTTTACAAAGTTGCACATCCTGTAGAGGAGTGTGCTGTATAAAGAAGGCAACCCACACGAATAGGATTTCAACAAATTGTTTGGCGATACTGCTGCGTTGGCAGCGGTGCACAAGTACAATTAACCATAACAGAGTTTTTTTTGGGGTTAGATCGCGTAAATATAAATGTGCCGTTAAACCCGCCACCACGAGACACAGCCAATTCTATATGCATGCATTAACAAACGCCCCCCCCCCCCCCTGCTGGCCTTTGGAACCTGATAGGCTCACAAGTGACGACATCACATCTATCCCCCTATTTAAGACCAAAACAGGAGGATTTCTCCACAACTCTGGCTGTCCGCCTGACGAGGCTGGTTGTAATTGCTGGCGAAACGTCACTGCACTCAAATAATAAATGTTGTGGGTTTACTCTCCAACACACCGGTGTGCTGTACCAGTAAATAATTGGCACGTTTTGTTTACGTCACAAACCTTACTAATTGGCTGTGTCGGGTGGTGGTGGGTTTAACGACACATTGATATTTACACGAACTAACCCAACAAACCTCGACAATGGATAATATTGGTCGCAAATGCCTCCTGCTACGTGTCATTCACCAAAATCTCAACACATTCGTCAATAACACCGTGGAGCCATAAAAGAAAAAAATTCTATATTTAAGGGACGACGTTTCGGGCAACGGTACTTCTTAGTAGGATATATGATTTAAAGGTAACATGCGCTAGCTCTATTGGAACATTTTACACTTCACTCCTGAATGTTTTTTTTGCTTGCATCATCTCCCGACGGATGACTGCAAAAAAACGAAGGTAATAATTCACGAACACTCATTCCGTCCACTTATTCCACCGACTCTCAATAGAAAGCTATTTTCGTAACGATGGGCGACTGCGAATTCGCCACGTTGTTTTGGGTCCCGGGACACGCCTCGGAATCTCGCGAACGGCGTCTCGCCGTTGCACACGCTAGCGGAGGAGTTCGTGGGAGCCGGCAATCGATGTAGGCCCGACGCAGCACGCTGCGGGGAATACTCTGGAAGTTTTTTTTTACGTGGCCGTGTGGCTCGGGGTTCAGAACGCCGAGCCAGCACCGTCAGGAACCTTGGTTCAAACTGGGGCGGCCCCCAGTGATTTGATTTTTTTTCTGCGCTTGCTGTACACAAGAACAAAGGCCCGCAGCAGAACGATGGGTGACAAAAACAGCACGCGGGCCCTCCGCCAGACCCATGTACCTGACGTGTCCTGATTGATGGGGGGGGGGGGAGGGGGGGGAGCTACCAGTGATTTTAACCAGGTTCCCAAGCCTAGTGAGTCGATGGCCGGTCACTAATGTGCCAAAAAAAATAATTCCATTATTTTGGTTTTATCACTTAATTTGTCCCAAAATTTCCAAATCCGAGATATTTTTTTTTGTTCGGTTCGATCGACATGAAACATCTCGACAAGAAACATCTCGACCGAGGCTCCCGCTGTGGCTAGATGCTATCTCCCTCGCCTGGTATACAGGAGGTCGTAAGTTCGATCCCCACCCTGACGCCTGTATATTTGGAGTTTACATGTTGTCCCTTTGTCCCTGCGGTCGCGTGGATTTTTATGCGGGTTCTCCGTTTTTTGCCTCCACATTTAGAATCGACACGCGTTTAGAGTATTTTTTTGCTATAAATTCCCACATGATGACAAGCCACTTCGTTGAGCTATCATTTGTGAGAGCCGGGTCGCTTCTGAAAAAAGAGCTACATAAGCTCAGTGGGCCTTACCTGATAAAAATGTTAATCATTTATAGTTATTAAGGTTACTCGAAAGGCCACGGATCACTGCAGGGCACGTGTGAAAGATAAGACGTCACTTTGAAGGGAACTAAGAGGCAGTTCTGCGATATCTCCTTCAGCGGGCGCAGATTTCTCACGCAAGTATCTACGTACGTACGATGTTGAACTCCTTTCGCACTGCACGTAGCTGACCGTGCTAATCGGAGGTGTGGGGTGGGGGGAAGATGGGGGGAAAGGAAAAAACGCCTTTCCAGATTTCCAGCCACACGAACAACTCCCGTTTCGTAGCGTGACGCCGACGGCAACCATCGCTGTGCCTTTCCGGAACGTGGCGACGCGCACTCCCACGTACATTTTTATTTCACAATAAACACACATATATATAAAACCTATTAAACATAGCCCTGCTGAAAGGGCAGCGACTCGCGTCCCTCCGGCCACATCACAGCGGGTTGTGGCATTTGGGGCCACAAACGAGAGGGGGGAGGGGGCGGTAGGGGGGGGGGGGCCGAGGGGGCCGAAGCGCTCGCGGCTACCTTGCGGCAGCGCCAATCCACCGCGAAATGTAAAGCTAAAATCTGGCGCGGCGAACGCTCGTGCCGGCCCCGCGGGGCTTCCGTGTTCCGCGCGGCACTCGAGGCCACGGCAACGTTTAGATGGCGCGCCCCTGTCCCGAACGCGGAGTGAGGGCACGGCACACCCCCCCCCCCCACCTCAATCCACCTCCCCCCACCACAGCACCCCCCCCCCCCGTCCCCCCACCTCCCCCCACCACAGCCTCCCCCCTGCCACAGCCCCCCCATCACCTCCCCCGAGCACAACATGCCCCCCCCCACCTCAACTCCCCCCCACCACCGGGCGACAGGACCTCAATACAAATACTAAAATTTTCCGAAATTAACGACCCCCCACCCCCCCTTTAGTCAATCCACCATGGCTGGCGGGATCGGGGGGGGGTCGGCGGTGTGAAGGCCTCCGCATTGCCATGCGAGTCGTGGGGGGTGGGGGTAGCTTGACCATGCTTCACCATCGCTGGCCGGTGCCCATGGGTAACTATGGCCAGCGGAGACGACGGGACCTCATGAGTACAGCACAACACATTTTGCTGTGCCGCCCTCTGCTACCCGCCATGCGTCTCCGCTGCAGCCTCTAGCGCCTGTTGTACGCACGGTGGGTTGCCCATCCAAGCACTATCAAGGCTCGAGCATGCTTAGCGTCCGAGGTCTGTAAAAATAATAAAAACAATCATCTCTATATCTATAAAAGGCGCCGTTATCACGTAAAAAAAATAAAACTGCACTCACAAGAATAGATTAAATCTAAGCGTCGTAAAAAGCTGATGAAAACGATGTCAATGACTACTCCCGAAATTCCAATAAAATTAATAATAATTACAGAGTAATCTTAAGGTACGAGGAAAGCCTGTACAAATAGTCCTAAGGTGTGATTTAAAAAGTTAAATAGACTCAGAATCCCTCATGGACCGAGGAAGGGGATTCCAAAATCGCGGCCTGAAGAGATTCGGTGCATCCTCTGGGATATGGTCATTGCTGATGACTTCGGTTTTTTTAAATGTGGTAAATAGTTCAATACATGTGCACAGTATGGTCGACATGTTCATGTACTAAGCCACATTTTCTGAATATTAAAAATATTACCTTCAAAATTGCACCCTGTACGTATTATCGTAATTTTTTGTTTTACTGTGCCGTGAACGGATAAACGCAGCCTGCGATATGACGCACGCGCAGGTCGCACGTAGCCCTGATAGGAATTGATTTTGATCGACGTGTCGTCAGACACCTAGGCTGGCGCAAACACACACACACGTACAACATACGCGAGCACAGGGCCGCGTATATGACCAGCCTGGCGCAATTTAGGAGGCATCATCGGCCAAGCTCACACGGCACAGCGCCAGCCAGTCAAGCCAGTCCGCCGGCCGGCCAGCCAGCCGGCCAGCCAGCCAATCGGCCGGCCAGCAAGCCAGCCAGTAACGTCACCCACCCAGCAGGTCAGCTGGCCAGCAAGCCAGTCAGTCAATTATCCAGCCAGCTGGTCAGCCGGCCAGCAAGGCAGCCAGTCATTCAGCCAGTCATTCAGCCAGCCTGTCAGCCAGCCAGTCATCCAGCCAGCGAGTCAATCAGACGACAACCCCACCAGGCAATAAGCACGGTAGCCCGCTAGCGCTGCCCGCCAAATCCAATCCAGCCGCCATTTGCACGGCGTTATCTCCGTCGCCTCCCGTGAGAGGCGAGCCCCTCCGTGCCGCCAAACAATTACGGTTTCAATTTCATGACCATTTAACGCAAATTTAGCGCCGTCTTTTTTTTCTCCCCCCACACTCTCTCTCTCTCTCTTCTCCGCCGCCCCCGTACCGTGCGCTGGCAGGAATTCACGACACAAGAGTGGCCCCCGCTGTCACCACCACCCCCGCCCACCCCCCAGGGGGGACGCGAGTGGCAATCGCGAAAAGCACAGAAGTGGAAAACCGGAGCAGCTCGCGCCGCCAAGCCCAACGGCCCCCAGCAGCGGAATAGCGCGGCGTTTTCCCATGGAGCATTGAGGCAGCATTCACCAAAAGAATACAGTAGACTCTCGATTGTCCGCGTGCAGTTTATCAGATTTGCGGATTAGCCGCGCACCTGAGATTTTGGATTTTCCCTTAAGCCCAAATGAATAATCTAAAAACAGTTACACATTGTTATTCTTGGAAATGTTTATTACAAGTCACGTGCTTAAACCGAACAAATATGCTGCTCCGGTTAATCCGAAATCCACGTGAGCGCCGCTACAGTAATGGACCGAGTTTGATTGACGTTGATTGGCGTGGCTCTGCTGCTTAGTGGGCCGAGTGGTTTTTTTGGCAGAGAGATCCGCAAAAAAATGGAAATTTTTGGATTGTCCGCGATTTTGAATAATGGGCGGCCGTCCTCTCCGTCATTATCGGCGATGATTCCCGGTTTTTCCTCCCAATTTCGCGTGATGGAGAAGCTGCCGTGGAACAATTGAGAGTTGACCGTATTTGTGACGCGGAGTTGAGACTCGCTTCGACTGTGACCACGAGTCCCAGACCACGGAGCGTATCGCATCAACCCACCCGCTAAGATCTGCTGCGGGAGGCGCTACATTTCCCCAATTAGCATCTCAGGAAGCCACCGGGCGGATCACTAAATGAGACGTCCCATTACAAGCTTCTCCCGTCGTATGAAAGAAGACGCTAGATACACTGAACTTCAATTGAAAAGCAATGTGACCATCTGCCTAAAGAAGAGAGGGTATTAACCCTGCTGTGACACCCAGTTCAAAAACACGGGCACTTTCTAGTTAATCAAATCACGACGTTTCGGAGGCAACACAAGCTTCCGTCATCAGGTGGCAATAGTCACATGCAACAGTAATTTATTTACTTTTTTCACCACAGTCATTTTGCTGTGACTGTTGCCACCTGATGGACGGAAGCTTCTTGTGTTGCCTCCGAAACGTTGTGATTTGATAAACTTCATTTTTATTTTTTACCCACGTGACTTTACCGAAAGAACCAGAGAACACGGGCTCCGACAAATAACAAAAAATGAAACAAAGCCTGAAAAGTGCGCAAAGAAGCGCAGATAGGTGGCTGCTTGAACGACACTGGAGAGACACAGGCAGAGGAAGACGTGGAACAGAGAACGCAAGCAGGTGAGGCACACAAATGGGCTTGGGCAGGACGCGTCAAGGCTCTAAAGAACGACGGCCGGGCGGTCGAGACTAACCACGGAGAGGCAGCCAAAGGAGAGGACATGCCCAAGGGCGTCCGCCGTGGAGATGGAACCATGGAATTGGTTGGCGGGTGACGATGCCTGATGGACTGTGGTATCGCAAGACTGCGCAAGAAACGGCGTAGGCTTAGGGAGGTCTTCGCCCAGCAGTGGAGAGATCGTGGCTGACCAATTCACATTTGTACGACTAAATACCTTGAAGTGCATGGACGGCAGCCGACGAATATGGACCGCGAGTTACGTCGTGGGGTAGAAGCAATTCAATTCGGAAAACACTCACCCGTGAGCAGTGCACTACCCTGTGCTGGAAGGCAGCTCTACAAGTTAACGTCATAGAACTACTACCTGAAGACAGTTGACAAAAAGAACCCCAACGCATTAACGCTATCCGCCTTGCGCGAGGCCAGTGTAACTATCATCAACACATTAGTCAACGACACTGCCTCCTCTAAGGACAGCGTTACCGATTGACGTTTTGAGTTTGTGTTGCGCCAACTCAGCGGCAGCAGTGGCGGCATCACCAAAATAATGCGTTTGCAACTTAACTTAAAAGAGTTTCTCAAATTGCTCCACCCGAGGGGGTAGAGCGCGAAACCTTTTACATTCCCCGCCGAGGGCGTTCGTCGCACGTCAAAAAAAACATGTTTTTTAATCGCCCCCTCCCCTCACCCCCCCCGCAAAGGTGACGAGGTCAACAATACCTTGAGGACCTCCATCTTGAGGCCGCTGTCTGACGAGGGCCCGTCGGGGATTTGCATGGCCTGGATGAACGCCTCCAGGAACTGCTGCAGCACGGGGAAGAGCAGCGTCTTGCTGGCGCCCTGTACGCACGTGCCAGCACACAGGTCAGGGGTCACCGCCGGGACTCGAAGGTTAGGTTCCTTGTACGTACATTGAACTTCTTTCACGCCCAACGTAGCCAGCCGTGCTAATCGGAGGTGCGTCGGAATGACGACAAACTAAACACAAAAAAAGCAGTTCTAAAGAAATTAGTTTTCGATTTGGATTTATAAGTGCGAAGCCCCGGTCACTTCATAATGTCGGAAGGGGGAGCGTTCCAGACGGCTGCAGAAGCGCATCTGAAAGCGCGTGATGTGGTGACCACCGTCACTCACCACACACACTACACTCACCACTCACACTACACTCACACTACACTCACCACTCACACTACACTCACACTACACTCACCACTCGCACTACACTCACCACACACACTACACTCACCACTCACACTACACTCACCACTCACACTACACTCACCACTCACACTACACTCACCACTCACACTACACTCACCACTCACACTACACTCACCACTCGCACTACACTCACCACTCGCACTACACTCACCACTCACACTACACTCACCACTCGCACTACACTCACCACTCGCACTACACTCACCACTCACACTACACTCACCACTCGCACTACACTCACCACTCGCACTACACTCACCACTCGCACTACACTCACCACTCGCACTACACTCACCACTCGCACTACACTCACCACTCGCACTACACTCACCACTCGCACTACACTCACCACTCGCACTACACTCACCATTCACACTACACTCACCACTCACACTACACTCACCACTCACTCTCACCACTCGCACTACACTCACCATTCACATTACACTCACCACTCACACTACACTCACCAATCACACTACACTCACCACACACACTACACTTACCACTCATACTACACTCACCATTCACACTACACTCACCACTCACAATACACTCACCACTCACGCTACACTCACCACTCACACTACACTCACCACTCGCACTACACTCACCACTCGCACTACACTCACCACTCGCACTACACTCACCACTCACACTACACTCACCACTCGCACTACACTCACCACTCGCACTACACTCACCACTCACACTACACTCACCACTCGCACTACACTCACCACTCACACTACACTCACCACTCGCACTACACTCACCACTCGCACTACACTCACCACTCGCACTACACTCACCACTCGCACTACACTCACCACTCGCACTACACTCACCACTTGCACTACACTCACCACTCGCACTACACTCACCATTCACACTACACTCACCACTCACACTACACTCACCACTCACTCTCACCACTCGCACTACACTCACCATTCACATTACACTCACCACTCACACTACACTCACCAATCACACTACACTCACCACACACACTACACTTACCACTCATACTACACTCACCATTCACACTACACTCACCACTCACAATACACTCACCACTCACGCTACACTCACCACTCACACTACACTGACCACTCACACTCACCACTCACACTACACTCACCATTCACACTACACTCACCACTCACACTACACTCACCACACACAATACACTGACCACTCACAATACACTGACCACACACACTAAAACTCACCACTCACACTACACTCACCATTCACACTACACTCACCACTCACACTACACTCACCACACACACTACACTTACCACTCATACTACAATCACCATTCACACTACACTCACCACTCACAATACACTCACCACTCACGCTACACTCACCACTCACACTACACTGACCACTCACACTCACCACTCACACTACACTCACCATTCACAATACACTCACCACTCACACTACACTCACCACACACAATACACTGACCACTCACAATACACTGACCACACACACTAAACTCACCACTCACACTACACTCACCATTCACACTACACTGACCACTCACACTACACTGACCACTCACACTACACACACCACACACACTTCTCACCACACACAAAGATCCCCCCGCATAGCCTTAACAGACTGTAGGAGCAAGTGCTGTTCGCGAGCACCTATTAAGGTTTACACGGCACGTGAGGGGGGAAGGTGGCCATTACCACACCTGACCGCCTTTGTCTCCCCAGTGGCGATGTTTACATCTGCACCAGGTACTTAGTCGTGAGTGGGAATCGAACTCAGGTTGCTGGGTTCCTAAGGCAGCACGCTAACCGTTGCACTCCCGCTCTCCAAAGACAAAGACACAGAAAGACAAAGACACCGAGACAGACACACAGACCTGAAGGGCCAGCGCTTAGACAAGCAGGTTCTTTGTGAACCAACGTAGAGACAAATATGCCACCGATCAATGCACAGACCCGCAGCAGTGTGTGCTGTTAGCGAGCACCTCTTGACACACGTGACAACAGCGGCCATTCAACCACTAAGCGACGGTGACGTCATCGCAAGCGTGCGTGCCGGGGCAGGACGTGGCAATCATCTTCCGTGGGTCATTTCCTCAAACGCGAGCAGGTAAACCGCTCGCAAGCTCAGGCTGCCCACGCTTCTCACCTTCTCCACCTCGTCGATGGCGTGGATGAGGCTCGCGCAAACCGTGAAGATCTCCACGGCTCGCGCCCGCGTGCGTATGCTGTAAACCTGAAACACCGACAAGCACGCGAGAGTCATCACCGACTGAAACTCGGGCTTCGGTGCGTCAGAGAAACGGCGACAGATACGGCTATGGGGCCCTTTAATATTGCTTACGTTTTGTTTCATTCAGTTCCATTCATTCCATTTGCACGTGGTTGGTAATACGGAGCTGTATAACATTAAGTTTGTAAGTTAGTGGCAAGCCTACATGTTGCAGGAGCTGAACGGCGCAAGCACATCCGTACAAACGGGGGCAGAAAGCCCAACGAGAAAAATAACGATCCGGTGGTGGGCCCGACGGCTCGGTGAAACCGAGACAACAGAGGCAGAAGGATTTCTTGAACCGAATCGCGACACGGAATCACGATAAATTTCGATTTAAAGCTTTCGTGACTGCAGGGATTCATATTCTTGGTTCTTTCGGTAAAGTCACAGAGAAGGGAAATAATAAAATAATACTCGATTACATCTCTGGGAAGGGGGGGGGGGGGTGCTGAATCGGCACAGGCCCACAGTGGTAATGGTAAACTGCTGACGTCACGGGGAGCCTCACCTCTGCCATGGTGAAGATGCGGTACATCTCCGGCAAGATCACCGGGGCCACCAGTGGCATCTGTGTGTCAGTCACCTCCCTGGTGAACTCTAGAAACACACGACGGGCGATTCTTCATACAACAACACATCTAGAGAGACAACGGTCGCCGTACAACAGACTGCTGGGGCGAGTGCCATTAGCCAGCGCCTATTAAAACTGCCACGGCACATGAGGGAGTGGGTGGCCAGCACCACGCTTGACCAACTTTGTCTCTCCCCATTGCGGATGTTTACACGCCGCACCAGATGTTCTCAGGCCCAGTTGACCTAGGAGAGATCTGGAACGGGTTCACATAATCGTCACTGCATATTGCTCGTAGAGCAGGAATCGATCTAGGTTAGCCGGGTTCGTAGTGCAGCGCACTAACCACTATAATAATGCTCACACTGACACACAACCTCACAACCCTGATCACGTACTCACACCCACACCCACCCTCACTCACCCATCCTCACACAATTACCCATCCCCCTTCTCACTCTCACTCATCTACCATCTCACATTCACACTCTCACCCACCCTCTCACATTCACACTGACCCACCCACCATCTCACATTCACACTCACCCACTCACCCACCCTCCCACACTCTCACCCACCCACCCTCTCCCTTCACTCCGGCCCACCGCGGGCCCCCCCGCGTCTCTCACCGGTGAGGACGCGCATGGCCCCGTGCACGGCGCTCACTTCGCCGCCCGTCAGCATCTCCATGAGGAGGCCAAAGAGCTGCGGCCACGCGTCCGGCCAGTCCCAGTGAGCGATGGCCGACACGGCGTACGCCACAGTGGAGCGCACCTTGCTCAGCGACTCGCGCAGGCCCGCGGGCAGCAGCTGCCTGATGGCCGCCTTGGCCTGGTGGGGGGCGGGGGGAGGGGCGGGGGCGTGACGGGGAGGGGGGGTTACGAGGCAACACGCGTGACGTCGCAGCAATCGAGCACCGAGGTTGGTAAATGTGATCGGGGATTGGTTGATGACGATGAATGTCCGGGCAATTTAAAGAGCGACGCACTGCAAGCATCCACGCTCCCATCAGCTGGACACGCTCCTCAGATGCACACTCGAAAATAAACTATAAGTTAAACTATGTTTTATTTTACCAGGTCAGGCCCCACTGAGCTATGACGCTTTCTTTCAGAAGCGACCTGGCCACAAATGATAGCTCAAGGAAGTGGCTTGCCATCACGCGGAAATATATAGCAGCCAAACACTCTCATGAAATACCCACTCACTCCCATCACACAAACACACACCACACACACACACACTCTAATCAGACACATTTACACACTCCTATCAACCCCACACCCTCTCTCTGTCCCATCTGCCCCACACGTAAACACGCACTCGGGGCAGTGGTAGGGACGCCCAGAGCCGCCGCGTCACCGTGCGAGAGGTGCGGGACGGGCGGCGAGTCAAACTCACGCTCTCGGGAGCCTCGGGTGGGCGGAACTTCTCCGAGTGCGATGACCAGTGCGTCTCCACGTACTGCTTCAGCACTACGGAGGCCAACTGCGCGCAAACACACACACACACGATCAGATCAGGATCACCATCAAGTTTGTCATCGTGGCCAAAGCCTTCGCCGCCGCACCTCCCCGTTACTGGCGGTTTCGCCCCTCCGCCAGATCCCGCAGCTGCTGCACGGGAGACACGCGGCGACCTCCAAGATTCTGCCCTGACAGCCTCGTCCCACCGTCTGCTCTTAGACTCACACAGAGACCCATACACTAAAGCAGAAACAAATAGACTCATACAGAGACCCATACACTAACGCAGAGAGCAATAGACTCAAAGGACCATAGACTCATATAGAGACCCATAGACTCACACAGGCACCAACACTCAACATGGCGACCCATAGATTCCAACAGAGACTCATAGAGCTTCCCCAACAGTATCCCACAATCTGCTCCGAGGCCTTCTCTTCCCCTTGGTCAGTGGACAACAAGGGAGATCGTTCTGGCGCCTGTCTCGGCAATCCGCCCTCCTCCATCCTGCACACAGGACCCACCAATCGCAACAGCTTTTCGCCTCGTCCCATCTCCACCGCTCACCCGCCAAGCTCTCCTGCAGAAGCCTTCATTGCCTTTGCATGTCCTGCCACAACCTTCTCAGCGTCCGTCTCGGACGCCCACGCTCAAATGCCGACAGCTTTTACTTTTTCGGTTGCTTAGTTACAGTGTCCGGCGCTCTCCGATCCGCGCAGGAATCAATACATATAGCACTCCTGCTTCGAATATCCTTCCTTTGTTATGCTCAAGACCTCTGTGGCCCGCTAAAAGCAATGCACCCCTTGGCCGCCGGCAGCCTCCCCTGCGTGGGCCTGCATAGACTGCCGGGGAAAGGTGCTGTTTGTAAACTTTGCAATTATGCAACACAATATGAAAGCTTCTCATCCTGGTAGGGGTACGCGGAGAGTTGACGGGGCCGCTAGGGAGTGCAAGGCAAAGCAAACCGCTGGGATCCACGTACACGGACAATGTTTGTATCTATCTTTGGCCCGTTGCACCTTTCTTTAATAGCAACGTGTGAGTTACTTATGCAATAATCATAATAGTTTTGTAATCATAATCATTAACTTATTTATCCAGGAGGGGTACACCGAGTCTTAGGATTCTTTGTCAGCCAACTAGTAACGAGTGTTTATACGCACGAGAGGAAACCGCAGCACCCGGGAGAAAATCCACACGCGCGTGAGGGGGAAACACTCTATCCCCGTACGGATGAAAACAGATGCCGATTGGCCCACCTGATTTACTGCCTTCTCCTGGCGAGCCAGGTTATGACTCCACGACGCCCACGGGAAGCGAGCTTCACAACAATTCTGTGTATGCGGTGATCCACTAATCCTTGCTGCTGCCTCCACAATGCTGGGCGTAGGCGTGCGCCCCGCCACCGCCGGGCTTACACATAAATTGAGGGCAACTGCGAAGTTGCACGGAATCACATGGACGACGTCAACATCGTACGTGGCGGAGATCGATGTCGTAAATTCCTGTGACGCGAGGCAGTTCCCTTCAACGTGAAGGCAATAACTCCAGTGCTTAAGGGAGCTGGATAGGGATGCTTACTGCCGTTCCCGGGGAATATTACGTTATGTCCGCGCTAGGGTGCCACTGAAAATGTCATTTTATTATTTTCAAGGTCGCGCCTCCTGGTTTTATTCGTGTATATGCCTGTTAAGCAAGAGGGCCGCGATGTTAATAACCCCTCAACGTTTTGCCCAACGGAATTGTGACATAAAAATCATCATAGCCAACACGCGCACAGAGGCACAGCGCAGAGGTAGACATTCAGAGAAGAGGATGGGATCGTGAGCAACCTGTAAACATGATCAGACTGGAAAGGCATTGTCAACAAGCAGACTCACACACCAAAAGGAACACACAGAGAGGAGGGTGCTCGATCCCACAAAAGGAACACACTGAGAGGCGGGTGAACGATCCCACAAAAGGAACACACTGAGAGGAGGGTGCTCGATCCCACAAAAGGAACACACCAAGAGGGTGCTCAATCCCACAAAAGGAACACACAGAGAGGAGGGTGAACGATCCCACAAAAGGAACACACAGAGAGGAGGGTGCTCGATCCCACAAAAGGAACACACCAAGAGGGTGAACGATCCCACAAAAGGAACAGAGAGGAGGGTGAACGATCCCACAAAAGGAACACACTGAGAGGAGGGTGCACAACCCCACAAAAGGAACACACTGAGAGGAGGGTGCTCGATCCCACAAAAGGAACACACTGAGAGGAGGGTGAACGATCCCACAAAAGGAACACACTGAGAGAAGGGTGCTCGATCCCACAAAAGGAACACAGAGAGGCGGGTGCTCGATCCCACAAAAGGAACACACTGAGAGGAGGGTGCACAATCCCACAAAAAGAACGTACTTAGAGGAGGGTGCACAACCCCACAAAAGGAACACACTGAGAGGAGGGTGAACGACCCCACAAAAGGAACACAGAGAGAAGGGTGCTCGATCCCACAAAAGGAACACACTGAGAGGAGGGTGAACGATCCCACAAAAGGAACACAGAGAGAAGGATACTCGATCCCACAAAAGGAACACACTGAGAGGAGGGTGCTCGATCCCACAAAAGGAACACACCGAGAGGGTGCTCGATCCCACAAAACGGAAACTTCACTTTTCCACACACCTGTCGAGCGGTGCCCGAGTCCGTCCATCACCCTTCAAGTGTTTTTTAAACAAACCTCAAAACACCGCCAGGCCAGAATGGGAATCGGAATCTTTACCTATCCTGGAGACATCCGATGAGCTACAAACAGTCACCACGCGCCGGTCACCAACGCCCACGTCCGTGGCGGCGTCGTTTTTCGAGTGAGATTGGCAACAAGGGATATACACAGATAGTCCCCGAGTTACGATGGTCCGACTTACGATATTTAGATCTTACGATGGCGATACGACAAAATTGTAAAATATTTAAATTCCGCGTGGCAGGCAAATGCAGCAGCGTACGGGGTACGAATCTTGGCGAGTACAGTACAATGCGACACGTTACGATACGTTCAATGCATGTATGATACGTAGCTTTCGCGATTTCATTTTAGGGTTACCACGATACGATACATACGTTCAGTGCACGTTAAAAGTTTTTTATAGCAGATAGGATAGTTTTCTGAAAAAACTTTATATTATATTGCAGTTCATATCGGTAGGCTAAGAATTTACCTTGGTTTCTTTTTTACTTTACATTTTACTGTGCAATACAGTATTGTAATTAATACATACAGTATATAGTTTATACAGTACGGTACGATATTTTTCACTTACGATGGGGTCGTCGTAACGCGTCTCCATCGTAAGTAGAGGACTACCTGTAATAGGCAACGTTTTAGGCAACGGCCTTTCTTCATAGTATAAAATAATGTATATTATATATAAGTATATGATAATCAATAGGGTAAGTCCCTAATAGCAACACCACTTGACATCAACGTTTCATTAATATTGGATCACTTTTACATAAGTTATCATGACCCCCCCCCCCCGCCCAGATGCCAACACATGAACAGAACTAGTGCAGTAACACTTTGATCAATGTGACTGGTTTTCAACAAGGCGAGATCCGAATAGCTACGCAACTTTATACTCAGGTTTCACTCATGTTGGACCATCTGTACGCGTTACCGTGGTCCCCCCCCTGGTTACAGAGAGACGGACGGACAGAGATAATGCAATAAAACTGTAACACGATGATGCTGCTGCATGGCAGCAGGATTAGGACACGCGTGAGTAAGAACGCAGGCGTGCATTATAAAGCAAGCGTGTAGCTGGTGTTCGAGTGTTGTGTGCACATTCACGCGCCGCCATCCGTGCGTCCGTGCGTTCTGTGTGTTTCCGTGCAAACTACTTCTTCGCACAAAGGCTCGATGAGTGGACTGGCCTTGGCAGCTTGGTATGTTTACGCCGGCGGCACAATGCGTGAGAGTGGCACGGAAAGCCCTCGGATCGGAAACGCGCAAACCCCCACCCGTGTTTCAGTGCGAGGGGGCCACGCGACGTCCCATCGACTCAGAGATCCACATTTGCCAAATCAAAAAATGACACCCAAAAATGACACGCACGCGCAAAGATCCCCCGTATAGCCTTAACAGACTGTTTGGGCAAGTGCTGTTAGCACCTATGAAGGCCGGAACGGAACATGAGGGGGTGGGTGGCCAGCACCACGCCCGGCCGCCTTTATTCAAATAATGGTCACTGGTGTTGGGCATGAGCAGGAATCGAACTCGGGTTGCCAGGCCTGTAGCGCAGCGCGCTGACCGTTGTACTACTGCTCCCCACTCGCGGACAAACACACATACATCCATCCACTTTGGATCATCATCATCATCGGAAAGTACAGTATCTATTCAGTATTTATGCTACTATTTATTATCTAGGAATGTTTTTTTTTTGTCTGGGGTTTTTACACGTTTATTTCAATTATTTTGTCTCCAATTAATTTGGCATTTACACCGGCACTTATTTCAATTGTGATGTTGTCTATTTCTGGTTGCCGTGTACTTAAACCCCATTGTTTAAGTAAGACTTTAAGGGTTCAATATCTACGGTTTTGCCTTTCGCGGCACTTTACAAGACCGTAACCCCCGCGATATTCAAGGGCCTCCTGTATAATAAGCTAGGTTTCGGGCAAATACCATTCTTCATAGAACGTTGAAAAAATAAATTGTAGTAGACAGATATTACGGACGAGACAATGCTAACATGATGGATCGGGACCGTACAAGCTAGAACATTCAAACGAGACAAAAAAAATGAAATTCTTTAATCAAATCACACGCCTGAATCGTGACAATTCCCCAAATCGCCGGGACAGCGGGTCCTTGCACGCTTTAAGCGCAAGGGTGACCACCAGGCCCCGTGCTCTGGCCCCGCACGCGAGCCCCTGGTATATGTGAGACCCGTCCCACCGCTTAGCTCACCTGGCGGATGGCCAGCGCTCCATGAGGGTCGACAGTGAGCTCGGCGAGATGAACCCCGAACTCTGCACACGCAGAATCGCAGAAGCAAATCATCCCTCCACCACGTACGGCCACGTCAACCCAGCACGACGATCTTATACAAAGAGATGAGGCATATATAGAGAGAGCACTCTCACGGTTGTAGACATACACAGAGACAACACTGTGTAGACATACACACAGATAGACATCACTCTTGTGTGTAGACATATACGCGGAGACAGGATTCTCACTGTGTAGACATAGACAACACCCTCACTGCGTGGACGTACACAGAGACAACACTGTGCAGACATATACACAGATAGACATCACTATTGTGTAGACACATAGGCGGAGACAACACTCTCACTGCGCAGACATATACACAGATCGCAAGGGTTACCCCCGTGAAGCCTTTTCAGGGTGTTGGGGCAAGTGCTGTCAGCGAGGCTGGCAAGGCGCAGTAGTGTGGATGGCACAACCGCCCGGCCACCTTTGTCTCTATTGATGCTGATGTTTTACACATTGCACTCATTTTAGGCCGAGTCGACCTAGGGGAGGCCCCAGGACTGCTTCAGATATTTGCCACGAGATGTTGGCCGTGAGCAGGATATCGAACTCGGGTCACCGGATTTGTGACGTAGTGAGCCAACCACTGCACTTACCGCTCCGCCACACACCAGTGTACATTGGGGGGGACCACATCTTCCAGGGGGTCTGGAGGTCTCCCCCAGAAAAAAAAATCTAAATTTGAAAAGTCATTTCCTGCCTAAATATTAAAAAAAAAATAACACATTGGATGGACTATTTTTTTTTACAATAATGTCTAATAGTGTATTGTATTACATTGCCCAGTTTTTTCTTCTTTGCCTTGTCTTGTTTCATTGTATGTAATGGCAGACATTAGGAATTAATAAAGTACAACCATAACCACAATCATATGAACAGAAAACTATTTTATAGCAATATATTGGGGAGGGACATTTTGAGCATAAGCATATTTGAATATATTGGGGGGGATGTTGACAAAGTTGTGATTATGTGTGCCTGTTCAAAATGTTTAGCGTACTTCCCGACATGCAACAAACTTGAAATTTGCCATGTGGGTACTTTCCAGACTCTACAGCATGCAAAAATTATACAAATACACTTTTTTGGGCGGGGAGAGCTTAATAATGCATCAATTTTTTGTACGGCAAGTGAGCTGTGACGTCAAATCTGTCATGTGACCCGCGCATGTGGAAGCGTAACGCATTGTAGTGTAGTGGTTAGCGCGCTGTGTATGTGTCTGTGTGTGTGTGGTTTCAGGAAAGGGCGGTCCTGCACAGATGCCATATTTTCTGTCCGTCTGCTACAGCAGAGGTGTAGGGAATTCCAACAAGACCTACATCTCTGCTTTATTGACCTGGTCAAGGCCTATGATACTATCAGTAGGCCTGGGCTCTGGGTTGTTCTTCGTGCTTTTGGAGTACCTGACCCTCTGCTCACGATCATTAAAGACCTTCATGATGGTGAGCGGGCCCGGGTAAAACTACGTGGCCGGGAGTCAGAGCCATTCCATGTACACCTTGGGGTGCGACAGGGATGTCCTCTGGCTCCCACATTATTTAACATCTATTTTGACCACGTAGTTCGTGAAGCCTTCAATAGCTGTACCGGGGGAATCTCCATATGGTACAGATATAATGGGAGGCTGATCGATGCCCGGATGCGGTCAAGGGATGGCTCCCTATTGCTCAACCACGTTTTGTATGCTGATGATTTGGTAATAGCTGCTCATTCAGAGGAGTTGGAGACGCTGCTGCTGAGACTGGAGCGTCCCACTAAGAGGTGGGGCCTTACCATCAGTGCCCCACCAAAACTAAGCACCTGCCTGGGTATTTTGTACCATCGGACACTCCACCCCCACAACTCCCAATCGGTGATGGGGCCGTTGTGGAGAGAGTGGATAGTTTCCCATACCTGGGCAGTGTGCTTATGACTGGCTCGAGTTTAATAGCAGAGGTCTCACTCCGAATCAGTCGAGCGGCAATATCTTTTCATCGGTTGCGTAACGCTGTGTGGAAGCGACCTGGTCTGTCGCTCCGCACTAAGCTTCAGGTCTTCTCGGCCACGGTCATTCCCTCCCTTCTCTACGCTTGCGAAACGTGGACCCCCCTAATGGAACATCTTCGCCGGTTAGAAACATTTAGGCTGGCCTGCCTACGATCCATCCTGGGTTTAACCAGACTGGATTGTGTGAGGAGCTCACAAATCCTTGAAAGATGTGGGCAAGGTCCCATCGGTGAGCTCCTCCGGCGGGGAAGGCTGCGATGGCTGGGTCATGTAGCCCGCATGCCCAGCCACCGCATGCCGAAACAGCTTTTGCTCGGCCGGATTGAGGGGGCTAAGCAGGCGCGGCACGGGCTAGAGAAGAGATGGAGTGATGTGGTACAGGAGGACGTGGAGCTGAGTGGACTTGCCGATGACTGGTACCAGCGGTGTCAAGATCGGCCTCTGTGGAAGAGGCTCGTGAAGGACGCTACTGGGCAGTTGGAGGCAGTCGCCCTCCAACAACAACGGAGGGCGGAGGAGCGACGCTCAGAACAACGAGCGGAGCGCCGGGTGGCTAAAGCACCGCAGGTTGGCACAGTAGGGGGCACAGGTGGTGCATCAGCCAGTCATCTCAGTCAGTCGACCCGTGGCACCTGGGTCTGCCCAGTAACCTCCTGCCAGCGGGCGTTCGACACTTCACGTGGCCTCACGGTGCACATAGCCTGGCACAAGCGTCGTGGTGACGTCACCGCCACTTAGTGGCGAATGGCGGTTGTTGTTGTCTGTGTGTGTGTCTGTCTGTGTGTCTGTCTGTGTGTCTGTGTGTGTGTGGAAGCGTAACGCATTGTAGTGTAGTGGTTAGCGCTACGCTGCGCTACGAACCCGGCGACCCGAGTTCGATTCCCGCTCACGGCCAACACCAGTGACGATTATTTCAACCGGTCCTGGGCCTCCCCTAGGTCGACTCAGCCTCAAACGAGTAACTGGTCTGCTGTGTGAACATCGCCACTGGGGAGACAAAGGCGGCCGGGCGTGGCGTATCCAAGTCCCGGGCGAAGCCGTGTAGTTAAGCTAGTAGTAATATTATAATTACGGCCTTGGTAGACACGCACAACCAGCCGGTACCGCTCTCACCATTGTACTACTGCATGTAGAAATAAAGACTCCCACTTTCACAAGTACTGTATAGTACTTACACAGACAACCACCCTCACCGGTGTAAAGACAAAGACACACACACACTGAGGCACCACTTCCACAAGTGTAGCAGAAGAGCGTTAAATTGCCAGGCTTCCATCACTCGGCCACGACTCTCTCTGCTGCACGTGGGCGGTGCGCCATGTGGGCGACTAAGTCGGGGACATCGTAGTAAAGGGGGGGGGTGGTGATAACGTTGTACGGTGGCAAGCGAAACTGTGAAAAGGTCTGGCACTCTGTAGTGTGTAGTGAGTTTCAGTTTAATTTATTTTGGTATAGCCCTGTGAGCCATTCGGCTCTTGAATCGGGTGCAACCGCAACAAGAAAACATCTTAAAGTGACTACGTGTGACTGTGCAGAGAGGCCCTTAGTGTCCAGTGTGCCCCCCTACCCAGGTCTCCTTCGCAAAGGGATAGTAACTGTGTGCGCTTATAAGCGACTGTGTGGGAAGAGTGGGCTTCGCGTATTGCCGCACACCGCGAGTAACGCGTTCAATTCAATGTGCGCATTAAGCAGCAGCAGCAGTTGAATGAACTGCAGAATCATCATGATCGGTGCCAGACACCACGACCATCATCATCACGGTCTCCGTTCATACCTCCACCATCACCACGGCCGTCCATCGACAACCGCCATTGCGGTGATGTCACCACGGCGCTTGTGCCAGGCCACGTGCACTTTAAGGCCACGTGAAATGGCGCGAAGGTTTGCTGGCGTGGGAGGTCACGGGATTGATTGAGGTGCCGTGAGTTGAATGACTGTGCCCCCCCATTACTACTCTGATCACAACAACCTCAACAACCTCATCTTCAACCACCTCCTCCTCCACTCCTCAACCACATCACCACTACCATCACCTCAATCACCACCACCGCCTCAATCTTCACCACCATAGCCATCGCCACCACCGCCTCAATCGTCACCACCATCACCACCACCATCACCACGACCATCAACCACCACCACTGCCCTCTCACGCTGACCCTGGGGGGGGTCGCGGGTCACGTCTCGGGGTCACGGGTCACGTCTCGGGGTCACGGGTCACGGACCCGGCGCGTGACGTCAGCCACGCGATTCCCGCGCTCTGCACCGTCACCCCTCCTGGCTCTCCCTCCCCTCTCCACCCCACACTCTCTCTCCCTCCTCACCTTCCGTCACCTCCAGCACCTTAATCTGCGCCTCGCCCGCGGCGCGCACCTCCTGCACGGGCGACAGGATAGCGGTGAGCGCCTCCATGAGCGCCTCCCTCAGGCCCTGTTGTACAGGCGCCGAGGCAGCCATAGCCGCCCCTCCTCCTCCTCCTGAGCCTCAGCGGCTGCGTCCGCACTGCGCATGCGTGGCAGAGGGAGGGGGAGGGGAGGGGCTTCCCCGGAAGTGGTGGGGGGAGGGGTGGGGGTTGGGTTTCGTTCTGAATCGGGAGTGCGGGCGCGCGGGAGGGGGAGGACTCCTCCACTTACGAACGTTCGACTTACGAACTTTTAGCGATACGAACTCTGGTCCCGTGTGGCCCAGTTGCCTGTTAGGACCGAGAGCCGTGAGTTCAACCGCCGAGCAAAAGATGGCGGCGGTGGCATCTACATCTGCAGAACGTGAAGAACCAGTGGCATGTACATGCCACTGGTCTTCACGTTCTGCCACTGGTTCTTCACGTTCTGCAGATGTAGATGCCACTGGTTCTAGATTTGAAGCTTTCGTGACTGCAAGGATCCATACTCTTTGGTTCTATTCGGTAAAGTCACGTAGGTGATTTTTGTTGTTTTATTTTTTACCTACGTGACTTTACCGAATAGAACCAAAGAGTATGGATCCTTGCAGTCATGAAAGCTTCAAATCTAGAACCAGTGGCATCTACATCTGCAGAACGTGAAGAACCAGTGGCATCTACATCTGCAGAACGTGAAGAACTAGTGGCATCTACATCTGCAGAACGTGAAGAACCAGTGGTATCTACATCTACAGAACGTGAAGAACCAGTGGCATCTACATCTCCAGAACGTGAAGAACCAGTGGCATCTACATGTGCAGAACGTGAAGAACCAGTGGCGTCTATATCTGCAGAACGTGAAGAACCAGTAGCATCTACATCTGCAGAAGTGAAGAACCAGTGGCATCTACATCTGCAGAACGTGAAGAACCAGTGGCATCTACATCTGCAGAACGTGAAGAACCAGTGGCATCTACATGTGCAGAACGTGAAGAACCAGTGGCGTCTACATCTGCAGAACGTGAAGAACCAGTGGCATCTACATCTGCAGAACGTGAAGAACCAGTGGCATCTACATCTGCAGAACGTGAAGAACCAGTGGCATCTACATCTGCAGAACGTGAAGAACCAGTGGCATCTACATGTGCAGAACGTGAAGAACCAGTGGCGTCTACATCTGCAGAACGTGAAGAACCAGTGGCATCTACATCTGCAGAACGTGAAGAACCAGTGGCGTCTACATCTGCAGAACGTGAAGAACCAGTGGCATCTACATCTGCAGAACGTGAAGAACCAGTGGTATCTACATCTGCAGAACGTGAAGAACCAGTGGCATCTACATCTGCAAAACGTGAAGAACCAGTGGCATCTACATCTGCAGAACGTGAAGAACCAGTGGTATCTACACCTGCTGAACGTGAAGAACCAGTGGCATCTACATGTGCAGAACGTGAAGAACCAGTGGCAACTACATCTGCAGAACGTGAAGAACCAGTGGCATCTACATCTGCAGAGCGTGAAGAACCAGTGGCATCTACATCTGCAGAACGTGAAGAACCAGTGGCATCTACATCTGCAGAACGTGAAGAACCAGTGGCATCTACATCTGCAGAACGTGAAGAACCAGTGGCATCTACATCTGCAGAATGTGAAGAACCAGTGGTATCTACATCTGCAGAACGTGAATAACCAGTGGCATCTACATCTGCAGAGCATGAAGAACCAGTGGCATCTACATCTGCAGAACGTGAAGAACCAGTGGCATCTATACCTGCAGAATGTGAAGAACCAGTGGCATCTACATCTGCAGAACGTGAAGAACCAGTGGTATCTACATCTGCAGAACGTGAAGAACCAGTGGCATCTACATCTGCAGAACGTGAAGAACCAGTGGCATCTACAGGATATTATACAACTTTTAAAGCCATTCCCCGTGTTTAGTGTACATACCGTACAACATGTTTGGAATCGACAAGGGACTTACAAACAGTAACTCTGGAACCGAACTCGTTTGTACTGTGTTCCTGGAGGAATCCAAATGAGTTCTAAATAAAAAAAATCACCGATGTCCAGTAGGGTCATGGAGTATGAACGTTACAACAAACTGTACAAAAACACGATAGTCGTGCAAAGTACAGGAAATACAAACATCACCCACACACATACAAATGAAACTAAACCATCCCCAGCCTACAAGGCAAAGCCCACTGAGGTATTAGCTTATTTTTCAGAAGCGACCTTGCCACAAATGATAGCTCAACAACGTGGCTTATCATGTTGACATGTATAAGCAGCAAAATAATATAAAAGCGTATTTCTAATTGTGGAGGGAAAAAGCGGAGGACCCGGAGAAAAATTCCACGCGACCACGGAAAGAGAGACATGCAAACTTCAAATATAATACAGGTGTCAGGGTCGAGATTGAACCCACGACTTCCTGTATAGCAGGCAGGAGGGCTTGACCCTGCTGATGAGACACTGTCGAAACCAGTCTTTGCCAATAAGCGTCTGGTAGAAAAGCTTGCCCCCGCTGATGAGACACTGAATGTCGAACCCAGTCGTTGCCTATAAACATTTGGCAATTCATCCGACATTGATTCATGCAGTGACGTGCGGTGAGGTCAATGGCTGGGGAGGCACTGGCTAGTGTCAGAGCCAGATTCACACACTGAAGGGGGCGTGGCCTCACGGAGGGGGCTTGGCCTCGCTAAGGAAGGGCGTGTTAGACACGTCCCCCCTCAGTGAGGCAGATGTGATAGCTGCCTCCCCTGGTGCTGTTTTCATTGCAGTTTCATGACGAGACCAGCGAGCCTAAATTTCTTTATACACATACGTGAAATAAGTTACCTGTAGTATGGAAGGCGAGGACATGAAATGAAGGGGTCTACTAACATTACATTGGTGACATACTGAGATAGTAACAGGCACGCACTTATTGCCCGCGCTCCATCCAATTACTGAGGGGTTGGGCAATCAGAGGGGAGGCCGAGCTCGTCGCTGCCTCACCTTTTGTCTCTTCCTGTATTCGCTTGCGGAGCTCCACAAATTTGGCGATTTTGACGATAAAAATGATTGGAATCGTACAGAAATGACATTTATAACACAGATCAGGGGAAAAATCTTAATATGTATTTGATTTGATTATTCTTTTTTTTACTTTTCGTAACGGCTATTTTCATTGGAGTATGACAGGTGAGGCTCTGTCTCCCCTGTCTCCCCTGACCGCACGTCCCTGGATTAATGCAAGCCTGACGCTGCTGTTGAGACATTGAAAGTCGAAACCAGTCCTTGCCAATAATATTTGTCAGCAAAGCGTGATTGATCCAGAGACACGTAATGTAAAAATCAGTCCCATTCAAACGTTAATCAATTTACCAGCATCTGGGCATGCAAGCCTGGCCCTGCTGATGAGACACTGAATGGCAAACGCATTTCCTTGTCTATAAACATCTGGCAGTTCGTCACTGTGGGTTCATACAAGTCTCACTGCTGATGAGACAGTAAATGTTGAAATCAGTCCTTGCCAATACATTTCTTGCAGTTCACTAGAATTTGTTCGTGCAAGCCTGACCTTGCTGACGTAAATGTTGTGGATTTACTCTCCAACACACCGGTGGGCTGCAGTAGTCACTAATTGTCGCGTTTTGTTTACGTGGAAAAACCCTCACTGTGTCGGGTGGTGGAGGGTTACGACACAACATTTATACGTACGCGAACAAACCCAAAAAAACCTTTCATTATGAATAATATTGGTCGCAAAAGCCTACTACGTGTTAAACTTCGTGTTAATTACCTACACCGTAGGAAGTTATGTTGTGGATATACTTGCCACCGCCACAGGAATGTGGAGTTGTCACTATTGGCTCAGGGTCGTCGATGGAATTGAACATCGCCTCACACTCAATTGAGCATAAAGGCATGATCACCACCGTCACCACAACTGCCATCATCAGCAGAAGCATCGTCATCATATTCTTGGTTCTTTCGGTAAAGTCACGTAGAAGGGAAACAATAAAATAATTAAAATATAAAACAAAATTCTCACGACGTTTCGACTGCAACACAAGCAATCATCATCAGCTGTGAAAACCACAGCAAGAAATTTTGAAAAAAGTGGCGGTTATTTTTTCAAATTTTCTTGTTGTGGTTTTCATGCCTGATGATGATTGCTTGTGTTGCAGTCGAAACGTCGTGAGAATTTTAATGTTTTATATTTTTATTATTTTATTGTTTCCCTTCTACGTGACTTTACCGAAATAACCAAGAATATGAATCCCTGCAGTCACGAAAGCCTTAAATCAAAACATAGTCATCATCTCATCCAATCACTCAAATCATAATTATCAGCAGCTGCTTCCATCATCACCAACATCCCGTTAGCAGCAGCAGCAGCAACATCATCATTATCAGCAAGATCTTCTTACCAAAACATCATCAGCATTCGCAGCAGCATTCATCATGACCACTGTTAGTATAATAATAATTATCAGCAGCAGCGGCAACAACAGCAGCAGCGCAACCATCACCACTATCATCAAGGTGGGCACACATCTGAACGGTCAGTTGTGCAACATGGTTGCATGCAACTGACTATAACCAGACACTCCACAATTATATCAGCAGGGAATCAAGTTGTGCGATTTCGAGAGCGACGTGGTTGCGCAACTGATTGCTCGGATTGCCCCAGATCATTCAAGATTGCAACTGGTCGCTTAACTTGCAAACGATTGCGACTGATCACTCAATCTGCAACCGGTCTCTAAGATTGCATCCGGTCGCTTGACTTGCAGCTGATTGCCCAAAAAGTGCACGCGATTGCTCAGATTTGCACCCGATGGCTCAGATTCCACCTGATTGCAGGTGATTGCACCTGATCGCAGGTGATTGCTCTTGAGAGCAGCAGCAGCAGCAGCGGAGTGAACCCGTGAAGAAACGAGGCGAGGAGCGGGAGGAGTGGGCGGACTTGCTTTATTGAGTTCAGTGTGGACACGGGGAGAAGGCGCCTCTGCGGGAGAGGCGAGGACATTCGACCATTCCACGGACGGGATTCAGTGTTCCGCGCTCGTGGTTGGGTTGGTTGTTGTTGTTGTGTTGGTGGTTGCTGCTGTGGTGGTTGTTGTTTTTATTGTTGTTGTGGTCACGGTTTTTGTTAGGGGGGTGGGGGGGG